GCACTTCCCTATGAAATGGTGAGAAAATGAGGAGTGACCTTGCAAGTAAGACTTTCATCTCTATCTAGCTTTGTTTTGGATAGAATCAAACACTATTTTATAACTCAATGTAGTGAACCAAAGTGCTAGTCTGAACTTCATTGCCTGTGCTTCAGTGAAACTCACTTCTACCCCCAGTCTCCCTCTTGCCCTCTGTTGAATGACAACCAACCAATTCACATCTTTAGCTCTGGAATAGTATGGTGTTTTCCCACTAATGCTCTTTTTCTTAGAAAGCTTTTGTTTGCATTTATACATCTCTCTCAGCCAGAAGAATTAACTACTTTCTTTTATATCTAATAATAAGATTAGTATAAGGTAGTAGCTTGCGCTCAAAGGCAGAGAAGTGATGAGTCAATGGGGCATTAAATTTGATATTTTTTTTCCTCAGGATTGATAGGAAATCCATTGATATGAAGATTTCATTTCTTGAAAAAACATTTAATCTTACCAAATCTTGGATTTACTCAAACCAGTTGTGGTAGGAATAGTTTCACTGTGGCATCAAAATACCTCATACTTAGATGGGAATATTTTTGTGTTTGACAAATCTATAGCTTGAACTGTGGTAGCACTGGAGGGCTGTGTGTACCCACAAGTAGTATTTTACTTAAAAATAATATCAACTTGAAGGGTTTGTCATGTCATGCGCATATTTTCTAATTTGCTTTCCTCACTCATTCACTGAGTGGTTTCTTCATTTGTTTGTTTAAACATCATTGAGTACCTACTAGGTACAGGGGATAACACACAGCATTAGCCCCCAAAGAACTCACAGTCCAAAAAGAAATAAAATAACAAAAAATGTGAGAAGAAATTACTTGCAGAATTTTTTCTGATTCTATAAGGTGTATCATTGTCTAATATTTTAATAACCTTTTTAAGGAAGTAAACTAATTTTATCTATGTGTTACTTCCAATATTGAAGGTCCTTTTTGAAGAGTGCCTGAGGGAAGAAAGTTACATAGCACAAGGTTTGGAATTATGCTAGCTTCATAGTTTAAAAATCTTATCATGTGGAATGTATTGAGTATCTATTCAGGACACAGTCTACTACCCTTCTGGGAGGAATTCTGAGAAGCAAAAGACATGGTATCTGGCCATAAGGAGATTATAGTCTCTTAGGAAAAAATAATGTATCTTTTTTTTTTTTAATATGGAACGCTTCACGAATTTGTGGGTCATCCTTGTGTAGGGGCCATGCTAATCTTTTCTGTACCATTCTAACTTTTTAGTATATGTGCTGCCGAAGCAAGCACAAAAATAATGTATCTTTATATAAAAATATGACCACATGATAGCAAACATTGCCAGACAGGGAGCAAATTCATAATCCAAAGTGCCTGCAAAATATGCTACAGTGAGATAACGGAGACTCACACTCTTAGCCAGGATGGAGCAGGAGGTGAGAATTTGGATTGGGCTGAAGATGATAGGAATGATTTAGGCAGAGAAAGAGCTGAACAATAGGTTGAGTAGATGAGTAGAAACATCATAGTTTCAGGCACAGGGAGTAAACCACTTTGTTTGACATAAAGGATCAACAGAAAGTGTCCCGTCCTGCAGGACACATCAGCGTGGGTAGCGAACCTAGAAGGGGAAGAATGAAGGGACAAGAGACACGAAGGAGACAGCAAGACAGGAGTTCTGATCAAGCTGCAAAATTTTATTGTTCACACAGGGGTATTTATGTGCTGAGGGAGTGAGGGGTATGAGGAGGTGCAGGCTGGTTGGCTGGTTCTGCTATAGGACTTCTGATAGGGTGCCCGTTCGCGCCGGCGGCAAGGTAAACTCCCGGAAGAGAAGCAGGGACGGCGCCATCTTGTGCTGGAGATGGAGAAGTTGGGACAAACAACCGCAAAATGTTCCAGGGCAAGGTCAAGACAGAATGGCTCACAAAGGGAGCCTTGTCTCCGACAAGAAAGTGGGAAGTATATTGTGGCAGATGACAGATGGTCTCCATCTGCTTTTCTGCAGAATTCAGAGTTCATTCTACAGGCCTTGAGGATGCTAGAAAAGGTAATGGGGAGGCGGGGGGCGGCAACTTGTATTTTAAACCATTCCAGTTTAATGGTGGAAAACTGAATGGATTAGGGGAGTAGAACTTTCAGGAGGCCAGATATGTAGCTAATAACAGTTGACAAAAATAATGAAGGTATCCTTCTACGTGGAAAAGAGAAACATATGTGAGACTCACTGGGAAGGAAGTATCACCAGGATTTGTTTCCAGTCTTCTTGCCACAAACCACTGCTGTAATAATGCAGGAAGTCAGAGGCAGGATAACCTAGCCATTACCATGTTTGTCTTTGGCATCAGTCACTGTTGGATTCAAGACCCTAGCTTTTTCCCAAACTAATTTCGTGACAACAAGCAGGTTACTTAAACTTTCCAAGCCAGAGTTTTCTCACAAGTAAAATGGGGAGAATGATACACACCTCATACATATTACAAGAATCAATTGAGAATAAGATTGTTGCTGTAATGATGATTACTCAATAAAAGAAAGGCAAGCAAAACTTTGTAGTATTCCTTGAGAGAATCAAAGCTACTAGGTAGTAACTATATTTTTATACAGAGTTTGAGTTATGAAACTCTTAGTTTAATTTTTTCAACTAAGCTGAATATGAAATGTAGCTAAGTTTCCCACTAAGCCAACTATTTTCCATTTTTCCTCTATCCTAATCACAAGGTAACCCAATAAATACTGTGTGTTTCTGGTATTTTAGCGTCTTGCCCTTGAATTCTGACTGCTTTGTTTTTTCCTCTTTTGTTTTCTGAATAGGATGAACAAAGACATTTTGTTTAACACCTAGCTAATCTGCCTCTTTATAGTTTGGCAAACAATATAGAGTCAAAACAAAAGCAAAAACAAAACAAAACAAATGGCCACCAATCTGCTGCTGCTTTCGCTGGCACTGCCTCAGTTAGCCTTCATTTATTTAGTCATTCACCAGTTGTGTACCAGGCACTGTGGGATGTGATTCTGTTGAGGAATCTGCCAGTTTACTTTAAGTGATAAGACAGGTACACACAATGAGATTGCATGATAGATATGAAATACATGGCTGGGTAGAGTTCAGTAATGGAGAGAGACTAGTTTCATCCCTAGGAAGGAGGGTCAAAATCATGTCAATATGGGAAATTGAGGCTGGGGCCTGGGGGCACAGGTACTAGATTTCCAGGGAGCATAGGGAAAAGAATGGAGAGGTTCTTCTTATCCTTTGGGGTTGGGAAATGGGAAAAGGAAGACAGGAAGATGGCAGAGAACATGGTAGTTCATTGAGACCCCAACTACCACTGTTTGGCTGAGGGGGTGTCCCCTGGTTATGTAACTGCTTTGTTTACTAAGGGAGATCATACAAAACATTCTGAGAAACCGAGCCTAGAGTCTGCTATAAGAATGTTATTCCTCATATTACCCACTGGCTTCTTAAAATGACACTCAAAATATATTGTCTTCTAGTTATGACTGTTTTCATTGTATGGACACTGAGTTCTATCAGTAACCAAGTAGTTTGTTTCATTTTTGCTGCTAGATAAGTTAATTCAAGTTTATGCTCACCTATTGCAGGAATAGAGAAATCTGTACTGTAATGTGTCTTTCTGTTCAATTTTGGCTCCATTTTAAGTTCCTCCTCTGTTTCCTGCTCTTCCCCTCCCACCTTTCTTTTCCTCTTTCTTCATGCAATCAGGTTGTCTTTTATACCTCATTTGCTGTAATTCTGGAACAAAGAGGAAAGTGATAAAAGGCAGAATGACTTGTTAATAGTCCAGCCATTTCCTGGGACTAACTGTACAAAAATAGCAGTTGAAGTACAGAAGGAAGGGAAGTAAATGAAGCTGCAGGAACATCTAGTCCATGAATTAGTGACAGTAATCTTGGGCAAGGTTCCATGGCCTTGGGGCCAGTTGCTCACCTCCCCTTGCCTTCAGTTCCTCTGCAATGTGGGGAAAAGCCAGAACCTTCTGAGGCATTTTCCAAGTTCTTGACTCAGATGTCACTAAGAGAACTAGTGGTGTTTAACAGGGAACAGTGGTTTCAGTCAATAGTGACTTCACTATTCAAGTGACTTCAAGGCCACTGGAGCAGATAGTCTAAACAGGTTGATTTTCCTCCTCTCCAGGACCTCTATGACCCTTTGTTGCCCTTCTTACTCATCAAGGGAATGGTTGTTCAGGAAGGAGGTCACTCAACTCACCTTTTTCCACTAACTCTAGCCTTACTCTTACTCTGGGGCCACCCTGTCTCTGGAATAAGGAATGGTAGAATCCTCACTTCTTTAAGCAAGCTCCAGGCATCGGCCCTGCCACTGCCTTCTAAATGCTCTGTTGTCTTTGTTCCTCTATATTTGAATAAAAACTCATCTAGCCAGGTTAGACAGTAGGATTGAAAGTTCCCAGGAAGTTGTCCAATCCACCATCCTTCCCACACAGCATCTCTGATCTGCTGTCTTTTCTGTCCCTTTACTAAGTCACTTGTTACACCTATGTTTTTTCTTCAGTTATTTCCTACTGAATAAGAGTAAGCACGGCCATTCTTGCCTTGCCCTACATAATCAAGCCCTAAAACTCTTTGGGGCTTTATTTTAAAAATAAAATCAGTTGCTCATTTTCTGACTGCATCTGATCTTAGCTTTTGACTTTGGGATGAGTTCATTTCTGCAAATTTAAATTATCAACCTCTTGTGTTACCAGGTACCCTGATAACAGCTTCAAGGTTCTTGATGGATGTTTTATCTTTTCTCAGGCTTGTCTTTTATTTCTTTCTGCTCTTGCCTTTGTTTCAGTGCTCAATTGTTGCAAGGCCCCAACTCCTTCTCCCTTCCTGGAGGTTTAATTTTTACAAACTTCCCCCCACCCCCATCCTGCCCTTATACCTTTTGGCTTTATAGGCATGATCTATGCTTCCTCAACGGGTGAGATTGTGTTTTCTGCATTATTGTTTCTTTTACAATTCCAGTGTGGTGAATCCAGCTCCCACTGTGACTGATAAGTCCCAAGAAAAGACAAGGACATCAACTGTGTCTCCAGCTAAGGTAGATTGAGCCCAGACTTCAAAAATCTCATTTGAGATTTTGAAATGGAATGCCATTTTTTCTCATTTTATCAAAGCACCACAAAATGAAAGGAATGTTATATTACTTTTTGGTACCCAACATAGATAATTTTTTACTATTTAGTAAGAAGTTACTCTTGAGGTAGATAAAGTTAATGAATACTGTGTTTATTGCTGAAGACCCAGATTTCTTGCCCTAGTGAATAAAAAGTCTGAAGCTATTTGGTGCAGCTACTTTTAGGCATATGGAATATGGCTTGTTAGTTGTACTGCACTTCTTATTTTTACTCCTATTTCCTAAATCTCTGTAAGATGTCTCCTTTTGGGGATGTAATTGCCAATTTATGAAATTATTACTATTATCTATGCATTGATATGCTAATATCAATGTCTATATCTTAAACTACTATAAAAATAATCTCCTGAGGCAGAAGGATTATGAATTTAAAGCCAGTCTGCACTATATTACCAGACCCAGTCTCAAAAAAAACTCTTGTACTGGGCATGGTATACACACCTGCAGTCCTAGTACTGGGGAGGCAGAGGCAGAAGGATCTCAAATTTGAGGCCAGCCTGAGCTATACAGTAAGACCCTGTCTCAAGAAACCAAACCAAACAAAACCCCCCAAAACTGATACACTTACTATCATTAGAATTGACTGTAACAATGACTATGAGACACTTCAAGAGTACTGAAGTGTCTTCTAAATCCTTAGGAAAGATCAATCAAAGTTAAATTTCCTGTCACTGTAAGCTAGCACAGTGACTGGTGTGGTAGAAAGAACCCTGGTGGGAATTTGATCTGATTAGTGTCCCAGGTTTACTTTGACCTTGAACTGGTCTTTGATATATCCAGGACAACATTTTTTCACCTGTAATATGTGGGAGATTTATTTGAATGCCTGTTTCCCCCACCACCACCACACACACACACAGTACTAGGGTTTGAACTTTGGACTTTATGCTTGCTAGACAGGTACTCTACCACTTAAGCCAACTCCGCAGCCCTTTTTGCTTTGGTTATTTTTGAGATAAAGTCTCAAGTTTAGGCCTGGGCTGGCCTGGACTGTGATCCTCCTGGTTATACTTCTTGCATAGCTGGGATGACAGGCATGTACCACCATGCCTGTGCACGCCTATTCTTAAGATGGAGTCTCAAGGATTTTTTACCCAGGCTGGTCTCAAACTTTGATCCTCCTGATCTCCACCTCCTGAGTAGTTAGGATTATAGGCATAGGCCACTGGCCTGGCCTTGAATGCCTGTTTCTGATCTAACTTTGTACGACTCTGGCATTGAATGTATTTTATATAGTTTTATCTGTTTATTCTTTGGTGTGGCATGTGTGGTAATTTTATGTTAACCAGATTAATCAGTTTTTCTTCAAACATGCCAGATAATAGAATTGACTGTGTAAAACTAACAAATATGGGTGATTATTAAGCATTTGCTAACACTGAGTTGCTGTTACAACATTTAAACCAAGTTTAATAAACAATATTTTTTCCCCAGCAAAGGAAGAATCCGTTTAATAGCTCCAAGTTGCCAGAAGATCACTTATCACAGCAAACCAAAAATGAGCAGTCAAAAAATGGAAGAGCTGGTTTATTTCAGATTTCAAAAGAGGGTAAATATTATTTTTATGGACTACGTATTTTTATATTTGTTATCTGTGGATGAGAGGAAATTCTCAGAGTTCCTTTCACTAACATAACTTTCCAGAGAAATTGAAAAGTCCCAGTGGTCTTATTCCACTATGACTATTGGTTTCCTCCCTGAAGGAGAAGAAGAAAAATTTTAAGAACTAGATATTCATGCCTTCCCAACCTGGAGCTGAAGCATGTTATGTGACCTCTATGCCTTGGTCTCCCTCATCAGTGAACTGAGAACTTTTTTGACGAAGGCATTTGGTCTTTAACTTAATAGTATTTGTTGGAGGCCCATCACAACTGACACAGTTGTCTAAAATTAAAAGAGGTTGAAAAAAATTTTAAAGGTTGACTCAAGAAGAAAAGGCCACACATGAAACAATGTTATAATCTTTTCATCTGTAACTATCAGCCCAACTGCCCAGGAACATTTGATCACATAGGTGACTTAACTGATCTGAGTTGCCTCTTACAGAATGTTACTATACTCAACATGACATTAAGAGGATACTAAATAAAACAGGTCATGTTAAGGGGAGGGAAATAGCAGAAGGAGAGAGAGAAATAAAGAGGCTAAAGGAGGGAGAATATAGTTGAAGTACTTTATGTATTTACAAATATGAAACATTGAAACCTGTTGAAGTCATTTTGAAAAGGGAAATGGGGGAAGAGGGAAAATAATGGCGGGGATGAACCAAGCTGGGGTACAATGTATGTATATATGAAAATGTCACAATCACACTCCCTATATAACCTGCTGTATAATGATACCCCTGGTATACTAATAAAAACATTTTTAAAAGATTTAAAAGAGAGAGAAAAGCGCCTAGATAATTCAGTCTCTTCAAAAGCAACTGAAAGAAGATTCCACCTACATTAAGGATTAGTCAAGGGGTGGAAAATTAACAACTGAACATTGGAGCAAGATGTTTCAATTAGTCTGTTTTATTATTAATATATATTTCCATTGGGCACATTATATAGTACATAAAATATTTTTTAGGAAAAAATCATTGGAATGTGTTTCCTTTTTTTTTTTTTAACCAAAAAATGGTTGACAAAACACTTTTTGTTTTAGGAATTAGGATTTTCTTTTTAAAAATTGAGCTACCTTATATGATTTCAACACATGAATTTTTTTTTTTTGGGTGGCACCGGGATTTGAACTCAAGGCCTTATAGTTGCTAGGCAGATGCTCTGCCTCTTGGGCCACACCCCCTAGTCCTTTTTTTGCATTAATTATTTTTTGAATAGGGTGTCACATTCATGCCCAGGCCAGCCTGGACTGCAGTTCTCCTATTTATGCTTTTCATGTAGCTGTGATGACAGGTGTGTGCCACCACGCCCAGCTTTTATTGGTTGAAATGGGGTTTCATGACCTTTTTGCCTCAGCTAGCCTTGAACTACCATCTTTGGATCTCTGCCTCCCAAGTAGTATGATAAGCTTGAGGCCATGTCTGGCCTCATGAATTTTTAAAGTTACTTCTATGTATTTCTTTAAGCCTCTTTTGAGAACTTTTCTTTTTAATTTTTAAAAAAACTTTCTATATCAAGTGCAAAATACCACAAGGTAAATAAAGCACAGTAATCTTAAATGTGCAATCTATCTGCAATGCAATCAAGTCCATGCATCAATTTTTTTTCTTCTATTCATATGTACATACAATGTTTGGGTCATTTCTCCCCGCTTCCCTTCGCCCCCTCTCTCTCCTCCACTACCCCCTCGCTACCAGGCAGAAACTATTTTCCCTTATCTCTAATTTTGTTGTAGAGAGAGTATAAGCAATAATAGGAAGGAACAAGGGTTTTTGCTGGTTGAGATAAGGATAGCTATACAGGGAGTTGACTCACATTAATTTCCTGTGCGTGTGTGTTACCTTCTAGGTTAATTCTTTTGAATTAACTTTTTCTCTAGTTCCTGGTCCCCTTCTCCTATTGGCCTCAGTTGCTTTAAAGTATCTGCTTTAGTTTCTCTGCATTGAGGGCAACAAATGCTAGCAAATTTTTTAGGTGTCTTACCTATCCTCACCCCTCCCTTGTGTGCTCTCGCTTTATCATGTGATCGAAGTCCAGTCCCCTTGTTGTGCTTGCCCTTGCTCTAATGTCCCATGCATCAATTTTTAAAGTAGACTTTGTTTTTAGAGAAATTGGTTCACAACACTGTTGAACAGAAGGTACACACATTACTTTCTACCCACACGTGTGTAGCCTTCCCCCTTGTTAACACCCTCCACCAGAGTAGTATTTATAGCTGATGAATTACTTTGAGCCTCTTTACCACCCCAAATCAATAGTTTACATCGCGGATCACTATTTGTGTTATACACTCCATGGGTTTGGAGACATGTATAATGGCATGTATTCACTTTTGTAGTATCACACAGGGTAATTTGTCCTAAAAATTCTCCACGCTTCAATTCATGAATTTTACAAGCTTTCCGTGTTAGTACTGCATTTATGCTACCTCCTTTAATATCTTTAATATTTTAACACTTTTTTTCTAACTATAGGTCAAGCTTATAAGTATTTTAAATTGTAGAGTTACTCTCCATTTGATATATCACCTAAATGTGTCAATTTCCAGGTGAATTGTCAGAGTCAAAAGAAAAGTCATCTATCACAGACGTTTCAAGCCAAAAGGTAGAGGAATCAAAGCAGACTGTGCCAACAGGGCCTGTGAATGGTTCCCAAATCAAGCCTCCAGTCCCCAAAGCCAGAAAATTGATCAGCAAATCAAATGATTTAAAGCAAGATGATAGCCAGTCTTTTCTTAGACAAAGGACAGACTCCCTGAATGCAAGAGGGGCACCGAGAGGAATCCTCAAGCGCAACTCCAGTTCTAGTAGCACAGACTCAGAAACTCTTCGCTTAAATCACAACTTTGAATCCAAAAGCAAAACTGTGTCACCTGGCCTAACCATCCATGAGCAAATTTCTGAGAAGGAGCATTCTTTAGATGACTCTTCCTCAAACTCACTGGAGCCTTTAAAGCATGTGAGATTCTCTGCAGTAAAGGATGAACTTCCTCAGAGTCCTGGACTAGTCCATGGCCGGGAAATGGGAGAATTTAGTGTTTTAGAATCTGACAGGTTGAAGAACGGAACAGAAGATGCAGGGGACATAGATGAGTTTCAGGATAACCTGAAGCCCTCCCACAGAAAGCCTATGCCTTTTTATCCATCAACGTCAAGCCCAGGTGCATCAAACAATAAAACACATCAGCCAATGACTTCTTATCCTCTTCCAAATAATGGGCTCCATTCTCACTCAGAAGTTCAAGCTGCAAGCCCACAGTCCATTGAGAATTCATCCACCATCATTGAACACCAAGATAAATCATCAGAATTAACAAGGCTTGAATCAAAATTGTCCAAAAGCCCTGCTGGTAAGAGAGTTGTCATTACAAAGTTATAAAAACAGACTCTGTGGGCTTGAAATGAGCCTGGCAGCCAGTCCCACAGAAGACTGTTTTTGCCTTCTAAGCATTCCAGATAGAATTCAGACAGATGCCACTGGGGAATGCATACCTCTTTTAATGGGTTTAGAGGCTTTCCTCAATCACCAATATTACTAAAAGAACCAAGATAGCACAGTCTGTAGTTTATGGTTAATGAGTTCCCTTATGTTTTAACCCTAAAAAAGTAACCATGTCAATTATTTAAACAAATGACAATGTTTTGAGTTAAATCAGGGTTTTATAGAGAAAGTAGTAATTAAAGAAATGTACCTTTGTATAGAGAAAATATATTATTATTATTATTCACAGAATGTAAGTTTATTAATTACCATTTTACCAGACTTTGGTTTCTCTTATAATATCAAGAGAACCTTTACTTTCTTGCCTCAAAGGATAGACAATAGACAGAATATTTACTGTGAAAAATCACCAGACTGGCCTGCCCAGGATCACCAGCCTTTTGTTTTGACTTTAACAGCTCTGCTGGACCTTTCTGCCTCAGGTGGTATGAGTTAGAAGACAATGAAGGTTCTGCTTTTCCTGCTAACAGCCCTCTCTCTCATTTTTTTTGGGGGGGTGTGATGGGGAGGACAACAGTACTGGGGTTTGAATTTATGGCCTCACATTTGCTAAGCAGGTGCTCTACCACTTAAGCCACTCTGCCAGCCCTTTTTTGTGTTGGGAATTTTTGAGATAGAGTCTTGTGAACTGTTTACCCTGGCTTGCTTTGAACCACAGTCCTCCTGATCGCCACCTCCTGAGTAGCTAGGATTATAGATGTGAGCCACCAGAGCCTAGCTAACTTTCTTTCTTTTCCCCAGTACTAGGGTTTGGACTCAGGGCTCCACACTTGCTAGGCAGGCCACTCTGTCAACAACTAACCCTCACAACTCTCAGGAGATGCCTTAAGCTATTCATGTGATTTTTATATTCAGGTTATTACTTCATCATTCACATGTTTTAAAAAACAGAAATAATGGGGAAAATAATGCATGTTCTCTCTCCCATCTTCAATAAATCTGCATCCAATCCCTTGATAATTTTTTTTTACAGCCAGGTGAGTTTACAGTAACAGCAATCAAGTTTTAGCTCTGTTGTTCTCCTCCCATGTCAGTCAGTATTAAGTGACCCTGAGTCACTTTTGCTTAGCCCTACAGTCCCCTAAATGTTCAGGTCAGTCTGCTTCTTAAGAGACCAAGCTCTCTTTCCTCCTTGGACATTTTATGTCATTTGAACACACGGGACTTCTTTTAAAAATTAAAAATTAGCAAATGATTCTTCCAGAAATAAGAGAACTCATGTTCAAGGAAACTACTGATTTTTGACCAAACATTAGCAAATAACTGCATGGTATTTACTTAAATGTTTATTCAAAGGATGAAAAAGAAAAACTTCTTTGGTAGTGTTTCCCTTTGTTATAGTCAATAGAAAAATACTGGTAAGCCTGTCCTGGTTTTGAAACCACATCTGCTTTCCCACTAAGCACTTTTATAATTGTGTCTTTGCTTTTACTGTTTTTATTATGATACTGGGGCTTGAACGCAGGGCCTCTTGCTTGCTAGACAAGCACTCTACTACATGAGCCATGCCCCCGGTCCTTTTTGTTTTTAATGTTTTTCAGATGGGTTCTCATTTTTGCCCAGTAATCCTCCTACCTTCGCCTCCCATGTAGCTGTGATTGCAGACTTAATACCACTATGCCTAGCCCTGTGCTGTCTATTTTTTAAATTTCAATTGATCATTAAAATTGGGAGAAAAACATCATCAGCTTAGCCCATATTGGCTAATATCCCTTCTGGTCTTAAAGAATGTTTATAAACAAAATTATGCTTATTCATTGGTACCTTGCCTTTTCCTTTTGACTTGCTACAAGGATAAGTACAAGTAAATACTGGGACGTAAAAAAAGGAAATTAGAACAAAATATCTAAACTCTAAGAGTGTTAATCATAAAATGAGTTTAAACCACACTCATTTTCACACAGGAAAAAAACAAGACAAAAGAGTTCCTAAAAGGAAACAAAGCATTACCTGGCGCTGACTTTTTAAAAGAATTGCTCTTATTTTTAAAGTAAGAGCTTTCACTGTATAATATATAAGAAGAATAAGTGTACACAGAATTTAAAAAGAAAAAACTCACCTGTGATGTCATCATCCAGCACCAAATATTGCTAACACTTAATTGTAGAGCCTTCCAAAAACTTTAGTCATGAATATAACTTGTGAATTGTATTTATAATGCCCAGACTTCTTTTTCCTTTAATAGTATATTTTTCTTTTTCCTTAATAGTATATCACAATTTTTCATCATCATTAGTCTTTAAACAGACACAGAATTCTTAGAGAACTTCACAACTGTTGACATATTTTTAATGATAGAAAATGTACTTAAGGACGGTAACCAATATCTACTATGATGTGCCAATTATTATAAAATCCTTTGTTTTTTTTTTACATCTAGCTAAAGTTGATTATTAAAGACTGAATTTTGTTAGCTGACATATCTTTTATTGCATTTACAATATGTCTGGCTTCATAAAAATTCAGCTTACACCATTTTTAGGAACATCCTTGTATACATGTATTGCATAGCTTAGCATTTTAAATCTCTTTTTTTGTTTGTTTGTTTGGTAGTACTGGGGTCTGAACTCAGGGCTATATACTGCCTAGGCAGGCGCTCTACCACTTGAGTCACTCTGCCAGCCCAATAGCTTAGCATTTTAAAGAAGAGAAACATTAAAACAGTTGAGGCTTAACTGTCATCTTACATAAATGCTTAATGAGTGTTAACAAAATGTTTAAGGTCCCTTGTCCAGTTGTCCTATGTTACTTGTGATTAAGGTTCAGAAAGAACTCTGCTTTTCTGATAGTTTAGAAAAAATGTAGGGAGCAGGTAGTGAATTATATTTTCTATATGGTTAGTTTATTTGCTTACAGAAATGACTTTTATTAATGGTAGAAAGGAAATGGGGCTTGTTCAGATCAGGGTTCTAAGAGTCAGGTATGCAAAACACTCATTAAGACAGCTATTAGTAAAGACTCCTAGGCACTATCTTCAGAGATTCAGGGGTAAGGCCCAGGAACACAAATATTCTTATTTTCTCATTCAGATGTTCTGGAGGGATTGTTTAGCCTTGCTTGAAAGTTGTTTTTCTACTTCCTGAAGTCACTTAAGTCTGTGCTTTTCAAACTCGCTAATAAGCCCCCTTTTAGGGTTTATGAAATTGCCAGGGAATGAGTGAGGTCACAAAATCAGCATGCTATATCCTCCTGAAGTGTTAGTTCCATACAAAGATTTGATAGTGGAGAAAATTAATATTTAAAACATAACATGGAACAGAATGTAAAATCCACATGATTTTTTTAAATAAGCCAAGAAATTTCAAAGAAATTTCCCACTACTTGCAGTGGTCTATATTTTCCCTCCTGTACTGTTACTGAGTATCTTTGGTAGAATACCTTAGTTAGGATGGCAAGTAACCCCTGAAAGATACTGGTATAAACAGCTAGTGGTATAAAAGGTGCAAATAAAAAAATGCCTTTAGCAAAAGATAATATCAGTGACTAAATAATTCTTTAAGCATTCTCTTATTTACAAAAGCATTTCTATGTTGCAGATGAACTGTCTCACTGTGTTGAGCCTGAGCCATCCCAGGTATCAGATCTCAGTTCTAGAGACCATCAGCAAGGTAAGCCCCCTCTTCTCATGGCTCTAAAAGCTAAGAGATCCTCACACTCTGGTTCATATGCCAGTGAGATAAGGAAGACAACTGATGACTCCATATCTAAAGTCCTAGACTGGTTTAACCGAAGCTCTAATTCAGATGATGATAGTAAGCTACCCCTCCAACATCCCCAAGGAACAGAGCCCAAAGAAATAACGGATTCAAACTCACAGGTTGCTATTGCCCTGGTGAAAGATGCCACTGGTCTAAAAGAAAGTGACTCAGAGTCCCTATCATTCACCAAAGTTAAATTGAAGCCTACGAGATCTGATTCAGCATCCCAAGTAGAGGGAGATATGCTGCTTTCTGAAAACTGCCAAGATAATGATGTGAATATCAAATCCAAATTTATGAATTCATCCCAGCAAGGCATCCAAAGGAAAGATCTGGAAATACTGCAGCCTTTTAAGAGCCATGGAACTCCAAGTCAAAGAAGTGAAAGTATGGACTATAGTCAAGGTTTAAAAAGCATAGGAGAAGGAAATGGGCTACCTCCTCCAACCAGTAGCTACTACTACAGTGTTCAAAAAGCATCTGATGTAGAAATCAATGTTCCAAACAACACTAAGAATTTTGTCAGCATGGATAAAGAAGAACCTAAATTCCATGTACATGAAAAAAATAAAGGAGATGTGGAATTGAATTTTGACTCTTGGACAATTGTCCAAGAACCAAATTTGAAAGACCATGTGAAAGCAAAGATAGTTAGCAAAGCAGGAAATACTTCCATCCTGAGAGCTTCCTCAGAGACAGAGAATAGGGAGTTGCCCTCTAGCGCTGTCAACAGTAGATCTCCTTGGAAAAAACCTGAGGTCCAGCTGCAGCAAGAAGCTAGTGAGGTTCCCAAGAACCAAGTGCAGAGAGAGAAATACAAAACAGTGAGTGACAGAATATCCTTTTGGGAAGGAGAGAAAGCTGCTACTAAGTTACCTCATAAAGAACCCACATCTTCATGTAGTCAGGAGCAATCTTCTAAGGCATACCAGCCTGTGAAGTCACAGGGCATGGCCATAGACAGTTTATCTTCAGGCCAGAATGAATATAGTCAAGTCACCGCCAAGCGAGTATTCCTCGATGACACTGATGAAGCTTCCCATCTTTCCAGTTTTTACTCCTCAAATAAACCTGAAGAAACCAGGCTCCAAATATCAGATCTATCCAAAAACTACTCTTCAGCTGATCAATCAGATAAAGTATCTTTGTTTCAGAATAATATAAATGAGCCAATGAAAAGATTGCCAGTGGAAGGCAGTTTGAGCTCTAGAACAGACAGTACTTTACCAGCACTGCAGCATCTCTCAATTACTGAGAATGAAATACAGACTCCTTTGGAGAAAGACAGATTTCTAATTGGTGAATCAAATGCCAGCTTTAAAGTTATGTCCCTAAAAGAAAGAATGGATGAACCCAATACAGAACAAGTCTATAGTCACTCTCAATTTGAAAATTTGAGGAAGTTTTGGGATTTAGGAGCTAATCTGAAAAGTAAGAATAATAATGATAATACAACAAGCCCCCCCAAATCTGTGCCTTTTAATAGCCAGAAACACAAGGAATTCAATGACATTAAACCATCAGGAAAAAATACCCCTGAAGTAGAAACACTTTTAAGCCAGAAAAATGTCATTACAAGGGAGGAAATGGAGAAATTAAATTCAGAGTGCACACTCCAGGTGCTACCAGATGAAGCCACATTTCCACTGAAACCACCCAAAAAGTCCACTCTGCAGTTGGCAGGAAATGAGCTATCAAAGGAAAATGTGGAAAAGAATATGGAATGGTTTGTTACTCCAGTGAATAAAGAGGAAAAGGATTACTCAGGTCAAGAGATTCAAGAACCATCCATAGTGAAAACAAGAGTTTTGTCTATAGACTACAAAGACACTTTGAATGACAGTTTACAGAAGCTGCTTTCAGAAGCTTCATTACCAGCAGTCCAGCCTTCTGGTGGAAAAGTTCACCAAAAACAAATACGCAAACCAGGTGTTTCTGAAAATAGGACATGGCCTTCTAAAACAGATTTTACTGATACTGAGGAAGACACCATAGGACCTAAGGAGATCACTGATGAGCATGTAGACAAGACAGTAGCACCTCCAAAGGCCCAACAGGACACTTTGGCTGCTAGTCTAGACAGACTCCTGAAGGAAGCAACTGAAAGTTCACAGTCTCCCTTACAACCCAAGTTGGAACCTGTTTTCACTAGAACCAACTCCCAGCCTAAAGAGGGTAGATTATTTGAAAAAGAGGTAAAACAGAATCACAACACTTCAATCCATCAGAGAGAGAAAATAATTCCTTTTCCAGAGGGGGACAATACTTTGGGAAATACAGCTCTCACCCAGAAAGCTGAAAGTGGTGAGTGCCAGCTCAACACAGAGAACTTACTTCATGCGTCTGCAGAAGGTTCTCCTCTGCTGGAGCAGGCTCCCCATCATCACAGAAAGGGTTCTTTTGAGGATGTGGTCAACCTTCCACAAGATACACCTTTTTATCGGGATGCTCATCTTGCTCCCCAGGATAGGGCATTGCCTTCTCAAAGGGAAATTTCAGAGACTGTAGAGAAAGTAATTCTTCCATCCAAGCTTGCCTTGAATGATGTAAATGCTGTACTACAGAGATTATTTAGAGAAGCTTGGCTGAATTCTCCATCTGAGAGAGAAGTAGGTCCTGGAGAAGTGAAGGCAGAATTTCCTGAAGGAGTCCAGACAGCAGGTAGTCCCCCAAATCCTCTGGGAATGACCCCACCTTGGGCTACAGTGGACACCATTGTTCCAGAGAGGAAGGATTTTTATTCCCTCCATGTAGTTCCTGATAAAGGTCGTAAGGCTGGATCTTGTGTAGCTGCCCAGATGTCACCAGCAGAACAGTTCATTAGCTCATCTGTTTCCACTGTGGTTCAGTATGACAAAGAGCTACCTGAGGAAATAGCAGAAATTGTGAGGGAAACAGTAATTGAACCCAAATCAGAGTGCCTTAAATTCAGTGCCAGCATAGAAAACTACTGAAGGAAACACTAGAAACCTTCCCCTCAACATTTGAAAAGGATACAGGGACTCTTTCTTCATCAGAGTCAACAGGTAGTGCTAAGATATGCAGGCATGCTGCTTCTGAACTCCATCCCAGTGTAGAAGAAACAGTAGAACAGGCTGAGGCTCCAACAGTAATTGAGAGTGCTTTCCATACTGGGTTTGAGAATCTGCTTAAAGAAATACCTGAGGCTCCTTCTAATAGGTTCCAGGTGTCAGCGAAGGAAGAAGTTCCAGAGAAGTAGCCCTCACAGTCAGAATAGGCCAGGTGCTTGGGGACAATGCCTCGTTTTCACTGGGCAGCCTCAGGAGCCCCTGAAAGGAAGGTTGAAAGTAATGATTTAGAATCTCAAGTCAACCAGTGTAATAAACTCTTGGGAGGAGACGAAGCTGTGATTGTTTTTTCAGTAGATTTTTGTGGTTCTGCAAGTGGGTTTGAGATCCCTGCAATCTCATGACCCTATGTGGACCATGAAATAGAGACCATTAGACCTCCAGAGGACAGGGGCACTGAAAGTGATGTTGCAGGAGAACAAGGGCCTTTTCAGAGGCTCCTAAAGCAATTAGTGTGTCCAGAAATGAGCAACCCAGGCCTCTTCTGACAAAGAAAGAAAATCCTGCAAAAATAAGAAAAGTTGAATTGTTATTAGCATCACCGTATAAGACACAAGACAATGAGCAAGAAAATAGAGGGTTCTCTGACTCTGATTTTTCAGATGGAAACACTGAAACATTTGGAATTTTTAACTCATAATAAGTATGCTTTATGGAATGCTGATGTAAAGGAATTTTTAAAAAATTGGGATTAATTTGATATTCCCAATGATGCTATATTGTTAAAATCACTTTAGTTCTCCTGAGCCTTTCTTAATTAAAAAAATTCATTTATATTATTCAAATGAGTTATAGTTTTCCTACTAGGCTGTGTTTCAGATCTAACCTTTTTTCTCATTAATCTACCTGTAAAAGCTCTAGGTTTCAAAAATATTTTTAAAATAATTTTTTGCATTTAGAAAACACGTAAGTCAGTTTTCCTCCTGCAAATAATTAGAATTTCTTAACCATCAATCTTCAGAGAAGTTTCTAGTAAGAGTTGTGGCAAGAAAGTAGCACAAATTTCTCATTTAAGAGCAGTGTTTTACCACAGTTGTGGCTAAATATAAGAGACAAAGTGGAAGGTAGAACTTGCTTTCCCTCAGATATTTTGTGCTGTGATATTTTTTGTTGTCATCCTCTTCCTCTCACTTTAAAATTGTCTGTAGAATCTTCCCCTTCTAGAATGTGACTTTGGTTAGATGACTTCACCTGATTCCATCTAAGGGCATTGTCTGGTCTGCTGCATTTCTCTAATCTCAGCCTTGGCTTATTCAATGCCCACATTCATGTAAGTAGACCTAGGGGTGCTGGTTTCAACCAGGCCATAAAACAGAGTTTAATCTCAGTTTGCTATTCTGATCAACTCTTGGATATTTTAGCAGAGAAATCCCAGGCAAATTAGAATGAGAAATTTCCTGATTAGAGTGATGAAATTGATGCACGGATGACACGCGCAGGAATTTCAGATGCTCAGGGTTCTTGAGCCTGATCTGAGAATGAAAGCACAGGCAGACTCCAACAGCAGAGGTCGGAAAGATTTTATTTGTAGAGAATTTAGTTGGAGAAAAGAGAAGAGAAAGACTGCATATTGGAGAATGCAGGGGGACCCGGAAACTGGTGATCCCGTGGGTCAGGGTGGGGAGTGGGTTTTATAGCCTAGTTTGCATTGCCTGAGGGTGGAGATGCCTTTCAGATGCAAACAGACAATTCCTAGGGAGGAGAAGTGTCTCCTTGACCATTTATCGCCTTTTGGGACCTCCTGCAGTCTGTCCTTCATTCCTTCAAAATGGTAGAGGATGTTCTCTGACTAGGACATTTTAACCAAAGTTGCACAACAGCTGGTGTTAATCACCTTCCTTGTAGTTTAATAAACTACAGTCTCAGTGAAACTACTTGGGCTGACTTGTGAGGTTTGAGTTCCTTTGTAAGTTGCTATAGTGTCTCTCCTTGAACACCAACCAAAGAATGCACCTTTAATCCTAATTAGACAAGTTGAAGCCCTTTTAACAAATGCTGCTGGTTAAAAAATAATAATAATAAAGAAAAGTGAAATACCAGTCTGTGAAACTAAACATATGCAAGAAGAAAAGCAGCATGTTAACCTCATTGAGGTATCCTCTTACTAACCTGCCCAATGAGTTCCTAGGGTAAACTGACCCTTTGGAGAATTGCAAATTTGCACTTACTGTAGAGACTATCACCTAATGTGTATAGCCATGCTTATAGTGTACCAGCATTACTGACTAGACAGCAAAAAGCCTGTAAGTAAGAAATAGTCACTGTTAAATATCACCTAGACAGAAGCCAGTAGAGACATTTTAAAATTATGAGCCAAGAAGAGGTATAAACTATGACTTGTGCAGTCATAGTTTTATATCTTCTAAACAATTTTTTTGGTGGTACTAGGGTTGGAACCCAGACCTTCACACTTGCTAGGCAGGCATTCTACTGCTTGAGTCATACCTACAGCACTAACTAATCATTTTAAAACAAACTGGCAGGGTTGGGGGTGAGAGTTGGAGAGGGGAGAGGGGAGTTTCCATGGTCAAATGCTTTTGGAAATGCTGGGAGATTATGTACATTATTAGCATGCTAAAATCTCTGAGAAGGTCTGTAATAAGATACTTTTTAAAGTTTAACAAAGAACATCCCAAATCTAATTCATGTTAGAATCCATTTGCTGAGGAATGCATATTAACATAAGGCAGAACTAGAATGCATTTCAGGAAAATATGGTTAAGAAGTGGTTCTTAAACTCATTTATTCATTAATGGAATCATTCATGGATTCAGCAAATATTTTTGAAGTACTTATTGCCAGTTACCATTCTAGGTACTGACAATAAAGGTTAATACTCAGACCAGACTTATCCATGATGGAGTTTTCACTGTCAAAATGAAAAATTAAGGACAGTTTAGGGAATCTTTTTATAAAGTTAGATGCATTTAATTTAAGGACTGTTCTTATCCTGGAATTATGCCCCCCTTATCCCTCTTGGTTCTAAAATATCTTTTTATAAAATAAAGGCATTAGTAAATGGTAGAACCTTCCCCTCCCCTTTAAAACACCTTGGTTAAATAAAAAGTTGAGTACCCCATTTATTTGCTAACAGTTGGAAATTTTACTAACTTGTGAAATCCAGAGAGACTCCATCTATTGATCTTGAGAACCCGACCATCTGTGTTCCCAGTTATATACAGATGTTAAACATCTGAATGCTGCCTTACATGGTTTCAGCTAACTTTTTTAATGCTCTTAGGATCATTTTATGGCTGTCTTCAAAAGCTAGAATGTTAAATGGGAAGATTCAAAGACTGGTACAAAATAAATCATGTGCCTAAAATAGAGGTGTAAACAGTTACGAGATCACTTTTGTATTGATGTGGCAATCTTGTTTCTTTATGGCTTGTGTTTGCAAATATTTCTTGATCAGGAAAATTATTTTTAAAGGACATATTAATATTAGGGAAATTATTTTCTTCTGTAAAGTAAGTGCTTCTTAGAGCAAATAAAAGTAGGGAGGCTTACAGCAAAATTTCTCTTTCCACCCTACTATTTTGATGCCCATTGTTTGTTAAAAGGCTTTTTTCTTTTGTATTGTGCAGCATTCATCGGTTTTGTCTTGTAACAGGTTCAGAAGAAGAACCCAGTCCTGTTTTGAAAACTTTGGAAAGGAGTGCTGCTAGGAAAATGCCTTCCAAAAGTCTAGAAGACATTTCATCAGATTCATCAAGTGAGAATGAAGTTTGCCCACTGTTCATACCTCATCTAAGCTTAAAAATGCTTATGTGCTTTTCTGTGGCCTCACTGCATGTTGTTGTGTACCTAACCCCCAAATGCAGCAGTTAACATGAGAATAACCTCTCCCAGGTGTGCTGAAGAGGCTCACCCTTAAGTGTCTGGAATTTTGCTTTTAAAATAATGCATGAAGTTTGGTTATTAGAGTGCTAGGCTTCCTTGAATTGAAGCATCCTGGTTTGAGTGTTTATTCAAGTGCAGTGAGTGTGAAGGGATTGAGATAGCAGTAGTACTAGAAAACTAATAGCTAACATTTATTGAATATTATACGCCAAAACCTATCTAAGAATTTCGTGTATATTATCCCATTTAATTGGCACAAGCAACTCTGTGAGGGTTAAGTTGTTATCCCCATTGTATAGATGAGGAAAACAAAGCTCAGAGAGACAAAGTAGCTTTTTACTATATCACACAGTAGACCTGGGGCTCAAAGTTAATGGACTACTGTCAACAGCAGTTATGAAGTAGCCATGTTTTATTATGACAAGTTGGGTGTCTAATGGATTTTACATGATATGGATTTGAACTAACCTTTGCCCTCAAGGACTTTCCTTTCTCTTTGTATCCACACATTTCTTTTGGATACTAGTACTACAAGCCCAAAGACAAAGTAGCACGTAATATGTTAGGCACACTTTTCCTCACTGGCTGCTGCTTTAATTGTTGAAGGATTTCTAGAGTACTGACAGAAATCATACTTGTATATAGGGACTTGAATATTAAACAAGTGGACTTAGAAACTATTACTTCTGGATGGGGGGGGGGGTTGTTCTTATTATTTTGAAGCCAAGATATGCCCCTGGGATTGCAGATAGTTGTGAGAGATTTTATTGAATAAAAGTTAGCCAATGTTAAACTCATCTGACTGCTAACTGAACATTGTTAGTTTTAGAATAGATTTTGGAACATCTGCCATAGAGGCCAAAAAGCCAGAGTTTAAATAGAAAAAGAAAAAGCTACTTCACCAAAAATTTCCTAAAATTCAGAGCTTCCTGGGGGTCCAAAGGCAATATTCACAATTTAGAATGCAGTCCTAACTCTACCAAAGATCTTGGAATCTCTGTTGGAAGAGACCTTGAAGGTCACCTATTTCAACCTCCCTCCAATGCAGAAATTCCCTTTAAAGCCTCAACAGGTGGCCAACCCCCACACTTGCCCGAATGCTTCCAGAGAAGGCAAGTCTGATCTTTTGTTGGACAGGCCTGATTATTCTTCCTTATGTTGGTAAAGGGCCCTTGGGGGCGGGGGGTGGGGGGGTAACAACTCTGCACCAATTGTCTAACTTAGCAAATCTCTTGCCTGTGAAGCATGGGGCTATTTCCATGGTGCAGCTTTAAAGTACTCAGGAATGTGTAGGGTTAAAAAAAAAAAATCACTATCAGCTGACGGGTATTCCTGCACACTCCCTTCCAAATACCGATACCCACTCTCACTAGCCTGCCAAGATTCCACTTAGCAGCTGGTCCCCAGTTAGATCTCTTCAGTTGACTTCCCAAGCAAGTCTCCCAGAGGCATACGCAAACGATGATGCATACACACAACTATTAATGACCATAGGATTGGGAAGGTGTTAGTCATGACTAGCATCTTGCCCTTTGCAGAAGAATAAAGAAGCTGTTGCAGCCCTGTGCTTTCTCTGCTGCCGGCAGACTGCTTGCTCAGAGCTAACCCTCTAACCCCCGAGAGTCAGTGTGCAGCAGTGTGCTGATGGGAGCTGCATCAGGGCTGAAATGGGAGCTCCGGCTATGGCACTGGCTCAAGTAGCTAATCTAAAGACAAAGTATTTGGGGGAAGACATCTTGGTTGCACCCCTCACTGCATCTTGACTAACTGCTTCCAACTCCAGGAGCTTCCAGGGACAATCTCATTGTTCTTTTCTCTCAAAGGGTCAGCCATGTTAACCATTTGCTAATTTCTCCTGAACAGATCAAGCAAAAGTAGACAATCTACCAGAAGAATTAGTACATAGTGCTGAAGATGGTAAATATCTTTATTATTTTCATGTCTGTTCGTGTATTAAGTTCTGGCATGATTTGGGCAGTCACCAGGATGCAGCTGTTGGATAAATAGAAAAAAACGTCATTTGCCACTATGTACCCAATAATGCCTGAGTTGTTATTAAAAGCTTTCTAACTTGGTGCATTTCATACTGTTTGTATTCTTGGGGCTTCTGATGGTGACACTGTAGTGAGGATCTCATCAGAGATCCTCTGAGAAGCTAGGGTTTCTATAAATAGGAAATTATTTCTTTGGGTATGAACTGATTTTTACTACTCTGACTTGCAGAACTCTTTGAAGGCAGGAAGAATAGAGTGGGTTCCTGGTTAAATTATTCCTGTGTTTGATTCTTAAATCTCAGCATTTAGATCTCTCTGGGCATAACTGGTAAGGCATTAAGTTCAAAGGAAAGGGCCCAGGAAAGGGTGGGGAAACCTATTTCTGCTTATATAACTAACTAGAATGCACTAAGAGTGAAATTGATTGATTCTGAATATTAAGGAGCCCAGAAGATGTTGATGCTTGTCAATAGGTCATTTATTACGTGGTTCATTTATAAAATTAATAGGGTAATAGTGCTTGGTGGGGAGAGAGATAGAAATGAGTTTGATTTTTATATTTCAGAATTTATTTAAATGTACAAATTTATACTTATATGATGCTTTTTAAGTTTTTCCAAGTTGTTCTTACTCTAATCATAAAAATGTATACTCATCTGAACATTCTTATACAAATGTAGCAGTAGTGCTCCTCAAAGATCATTCCTTACTTTTATGTAACGGTTTTTAACCACCTCATTGAAGTCAGTGGGGCAAGGATTCTGATCTTCATTTTGCAGATAAGAAAAGCTCAGAGAAATGAGGTGACTTTTCCAAGATCCCATAGCCAGTCAGTCAGTAGGAGAGTAGGGAATGGAACTGCAGCTTAGCTGCTCCCATCCAGTGCTCCTTCCCATGTCCATGCTGTGGTTTGGTGACTTAGAGGAAAAATGCCACAGGTCTTCTATGCTGGATCTTAGATTTTTAGTTGAACAGGAGATGGTAATAAAGAGTCACACTGGAATATGGATGAAAGCAAGCTGAAAATGTGTCAGATGTATTCTGCAATTTCCCAGTTGTAAAACTGACATTTGAACTTTACTTTCATATCGGTTTAGTCCTTCTGTTAAAATGGTATTTATATTCAATGTCTTCTGAGTAGATCAAAGATCAGATAAGGAACCAGATACAAATGAATGCATGCTACCAGGAAGTGAGTAGCAGGATCTTTCTCACAACCACTAAATGTTCCATTCTACACAGTGTTTAAGACTCTGAAAGAACTAACCTATTAATAACAGCACTTTTTATTGCTAAACTCCTGCAGCTGGCAAAACTATTTCATTCTGATAAGAGTTTATTTTAAAAAGCATTATGTTGAAAGAATAATTTGTGGTTTCACTAATGGAGAGTTTAACATATGTATGTATGTATATATATATATATATATATATATATACATTGCTATTGTTGAGTATTATTGACTTATTTCAGTTTCTCTGTTTTATGAGTCTTTTCCTAAAATAAAGTTGGCACCTTCTCATTTCAATTGGCTTTTATGTTACAGTATGATCCTGAATATCGGATTCTCTTAGGGCCTCTTTTCAAAACTGTGTTCTTGAAGCAATTTATTACTCCAAAACTGTACTTTGACAGTTTATATATAGATAGCATGGTTGAATATGCCTCTCTAAATGTCTAGAAAAGCAAATTTTTGTTATGTCAGGGGTTAAACTCGGAGGATTGAAAGGCAAGTGAACATCTGAATCTCAGAAATGTACACTTGGGCAACTAATGTCCATCACCTAATTAATGTCTGCCACCAAGAAAAGATATTTTTCTCTGTTTTCTATTCAATCTTAAGATTACTTAAGCTTTGATCACTGTCTTAGGACAAATGATTTCACTGAAAGGGGTTCTTGTGTGGCCTAGCAAAACATGCAGCTATGCCTCTGTGATTTCTTAGCTCCCATATTTCTGTCCTTTTCATAAACCTAGGTTCTGGAGGTATGAAGACAATGATACACATCTACCCTCAGGTCCACAGTATTTTAAATAATAATTTCCCAACAGCTTTTGCATTTGTTGTAAGCCTTAATGAGGAGAGCAGCTAAATTTGAAGGAGCCATTTGATAGAGAATCAATGTACCAATGCTGGGAGACAGTGACAACTAGCATGAAATCTGAAACTGCTCATTAGGGCTTCCTGCAAATGATGAGCTGCTGAGCTTTGGTATATGACTACACAAATTCTTAAGAGCTGCCTAGGAAAGAAGACAGTCCAGTCTGGCCTTGTGAGTATGTGCTTGCTGTATGACTGCTACAGACAAAACAAGACTGCTTACACTGCTACCAGTGTTACTCACTCCCGTATGTGTGGTGCACACACACACACACACACACACACACACACACACACACACACAGAGTGTTTAATGGGAAGAGATTAAAGTAGCTATTATAATGAGATGCTGTGAATGGATTTTGGTGTGCGTTTACCTTTGTGAGCCTACTGATAAATTTAGCTGATGTTTAGGGTGAATTTGAGTCTTTTACATTATAAATAGAAATATAATTTGATTTATATCTAGTTTTCAAATGTCTCTTTTAAGGATAAAGCCAAGTTAATATATTTGTATTGTGTTCACAATATAAACATTCTGTATCAGACAGTATTTTAAAAAATGTTTATATAAAGCCTTTTATGTGCCAAACACTGTTCTAAGTACCTTGAAAAATATTAATTCTTTCATTATAAGAGCCATAAGTCACCATAAGAAAAGGTAAGATACTGTGGTTCTTAGATAAAGGAGAAAATAATTTTCTAACCAGAGATATGCACATTAGGATTAGAATTCATCCTCTTATTGTGCTTCCACAAATAAATTTACTATGTCAGGAAGAAGACAGGCTATATTTTCATATTAAATTTGTAGAGTATCCTAACTTGAACCATTTAAACTTGGCCTTGGGATACTGAAACTTCTCTGAATCAAAAGTTACCAGAATAATTAATATTTTTAAAAAACATGTTTTGCAGTGTTGTGGGTTGAACTCAGTGCCTTACATTTGTCAGGCAGGTGCTCTACCCCTAAAAACATTTTTTTTTAAATTATAAGGTCATATTTTGAGTGAGAAACACTATCAGAAAAGGAATCCTCATGATCACTAAATAAACAAACCTACTCTTACGCACTGAATAGCCAGGAGTCACTTTGACTATTGAGTTGTGTATAAAGAGCCTTACCATCCAGATGAAATAGCTTTTCAGCCTGCAGCATGTTAGTAGTATAATATATCTTGAGGAGATAAACCAGTCATTACAGAACTTAGGGTTTAAAGCTTTGATAGCAAAAAAATAAGTAAAACCAATTCACATTGACAGGCTGCTTTAATACAGTTCAAGTCCAGCTCTAGTTCAATAAGATCTAGTATTTTAAAAATTAATTTGTATTTACTATTTGGTTCAACTCCTTGTTAGTTCTCTTTATATATAATTTATTAAAACTGCATGTTGCTTATCTCATCCTGTGCATGTGAACTACTGTGCCTTTAACCATTTTACAAAACATGTCTGTTCATAAATGAAAGAAAAGTGTGTTTTTTCAAGTTATGCCTAATGTCTGACCATTGAAATAATAATTTTGAAATCAAAATGCTGGTGTTTAGTTTCCACAGTGCCTTCGCAGCCTGATAATCAGTTTTCTCACCCTGACAAACTCAAAAGGATGAGCAAGTCTGTTCCAGAACTTCTTCAAGATGAGGCAAGTTTTATCTTTTTGTACCTTCAGAAAAATGGAACTAAGTTCTCTGCCAAGGTTGGCTGTATTCCACTTTGGCAGAGACCAAAAGAGGTCACCAGGACTGACCCCTGCCTTCCAAGTCAATGTAGGTAGTAGTGTTGATCCTGGAGCTAGGCATATCATGCCTCATGTGACTCAAATAGTAACTCCGTTTGGTAGTAAAGTCAGATTGCACAGACTGGGAAATGCGACTTTTGTTTCAAAGTAGATACAGAATAAGAAATCTGGGGAGAAATATGTTGGCATGAATCAGTTACCTTCTGTAGCTTTGAGTTAGTTTGTGAAAATTTAGTCTAGGCTGCATGGCTACTTTGAACGTATTTGTTAAAATAACAATGACACAGCAGACTTTAAGGAGCATCTCATGGGTGCCAGGGACTTTACATTTAGTATCTCATTTAATCCTCTATTGACCCTGGGAGGCAGGCACTGTCATCATCCCCAGATATCACAGGTGAGGAAATAGAGAGCTAAGGGATTGATCCAGGGCTGGAGCCCAGATCTGAGTCCTGTGCTGGTACCATACTGTCTCAAGAGCTGACGATTATCCACAATTAATTGAGTACCTAGTATGTACCAGGCACTTAATACTCATTCCAACATCCAATTCTCACTATACAAAACAGGTACTATTTTCTCCATGTTAAAAAAAAAAGAAGAAGAAAGAGCCTCAGAGAGGTTAAGTCATTTTCCAAACATCCAAGAACTACTGTAAAATGTAGATCCTAGACTTTTGCTGAGGCACTTTGACTTTGCAGTGAGGTAGTTAGGAGACTGAGGTATGGAGTCAGACATTCCCAGTCCCAGTTATGATACCAACTTGCTGTGTGATCAGGGACAAAGTCTTCAGTTTCCCTGAGCCTGGTTTCCTAGTATTTACCACAAGAAGCTGTGGGGAATCAGTAGGAGATAGGCAGGAAACACATAGCATAATGCCTAGCACATATTAATACCCAGTAAATGTTAGTTGCCACTATTTTAGGTTTTGCTCTAATTTCTCTTAGTAGATGGAATATGAAATTCTGAGTAACATATAAGTTACATATCTTCCTCCCACAATTCTGGGTGCCTTTATGCCCTTTCTGGGCCTTAGATGAACTGTTTCTGCAAATATTCAACCTTTGCAGGTTTATGGGCCCACATTACACTTTCCTTTGGAAAGAATCACTCATGTTTTAAGACCAACTTGTTAGCTGGAAGCCAACAGTGGACACCCCATAGAGTTCCTGTGGCTTTGTAACTTTGTAGATCCTCTTTGGTCTAAGGTGGTCACAGGAATGAGTATCATATCATTTTTGAGAGGTAAATTATATAATTTATTATTTAAAAAAAAAAAAAACCTCTCCCTTCAGTTTTAACCTGCTGTCTCATAGCTCCACATAGAAGAAAATTCAAATTATTTAAGTTTGTGCATAAGAGATGCCAGAATTAAACCACATGATTTCATTTTTCAAAGTGCATGGGGTTGAACTGGATGTGCGTCCCTTTAAGACTTAGCCTTAGTCACTATTATTGAGTGCCACTATGTGAAAAGAACTGTCCCAGATCAACAAGACAGGATCCCATCCTTCCGATGTGTTAGGCAGAATGTAGTATGCACTGTAATAGATGGAAATGGATTGTTAACCATGTGGGGAAAGAGAGTGACAACAGAGACTTTAAAATGTATGGATTTCTTTTCACCTTTGAGAGAGGATTCTTTTCTCATCCATGTAAGTCATTAACTTTGTTTTTCTTTAGCTCCTTTATTAATCTGCATTAGGATTGGCATCCATTGTATTGATGAATAATTGCATGGTCCTGGAATATGTTGGCATGAACTAACTTCTCCATAACCCCCAGAGCCAATGACCTGCTCCCAAAGCTCTCTAACCCCCAGAAGAGCTCATTCTGAACCATGAATTTTGTAAGATACCATCCAACAAACTTTAGTTATAAAGATAATAAAAATGGTCACTGCCATTTTCTTTCTTGTCCCAAGTAGATATGGGACATATTTAAAAATAAGTATCTTGTTGCTTTTAAATTTTTTTTAGAAATGTGTAAAAGTCTAATGTGACTAGAATGCATAATTTAATATACTTTCAGAGCAACAAAAAGATAAGCATAATAACACTATAGGAATGTATAAGTGTGATTTAAATTATATATTTATATGTATGTGTGTGTATATATGTGTGCATATATATAAACTTTAGTTGAAACAGATCAGACTAGTATTTTTTCTGGTTTAAAAGTATCTTAAATGAAAGATTTGATTCTTAGAGAAGCTAAGGTTATGATAATAATGAGGGGAATTAGGCATGATATTTTATGTTTTGACAAAATATCTTAGACCCCTTATTGTCTGGGCAATTCTTCATATAAGAAAGTTCTCTTTAGGCAATATATGTATATTAGAAGAGTGATAAGAATATCATAATAGTGTTGTTTTTTGTAGCACCTTGGGGCCACCTTGTAGATGGAAAAAATCACTTTGTTTTTCTGTTAGCTAAGCACTGCCCTCTTCCTTCAGTGAGGTCCAGTACATACCACCTATTCCATCCCAAATTCCATTCCCTGGCAATTAAAAAAACTATCCTTTGACCTTGGGAAATGTCAGATCTGTGGATGTCAAAATATCATCCTTTCCTGATCATAGATTCTGATCTTGAGTCATTCTGAATTTAAATATTGTGCATATTATATGATGTTTTGTAGAGTGATGGCAGAGAAACAGATACAGCATCAGAAAGCAGTTACCAGCTCAGCAGACACAAGAAGAGCCCCAGCTCTTTAACCAATCTTAGCAGCTCTTCTGGCATGACGTCCCTGTCTTCTGTATGTAAACAAAGGCTCCCTGTTAATATCTTCTGCTGTTCTAAACCTTGCTGTGCCCTGCTCCTGCTGTAAAGTGGCTTCCTGTTATAGTTCTCAAACTCCACAGGCATTTTCTCTAATCTGTAGTTAGCTTCTGGCTAGCTAAATCATCATCATTTTTAGAAAAAGAGGTTTCATTTCATTATAAATAAAAACATTTATTTGAATGTAAGTGCTTCAAAAAACCTAAATTGTCAACAAGATGAGCTACTAAATTTTTCCATATAACAAATGGGTGACAATTATACAATCTGCTTATATCAGATATGATTTTATATACTGTTTACAGGCATAGACATGTACCTTTCTTTTTAATAAGTCTGTTAAAAATATATTGATTCACATTAAAGAACAGGTGAGGAAGACTGGGGGCATGGCTCAAGTAGTAGAGTACTTGCCTCACAAGTGCCAAACCCTTGAATTCAAACTCCAGTACCATCAAAAAAAAGAAAGAAAGAAAGAAAAGGAAAGAGGATTCATTGTATTATAGAAGGATTCAGAACAGGATTTTAAGAGAAAAACTCCCTTAGTTAGTTGCTCAGATTTGAAGAGAATTTCACTTTACATGGAGTTCTTGCATAAATAAAGGTAGCTGGGTATATGGAAGTAAACATATGTAAATATTGGTAAACACTCATCTAAGTATTTTTCTGATATCTTACCAGGCATGCTAAACAAATGATGCTGTGCTTAAATTCTTACTAGCCTTGAATTTCTAAAAACTTAAAAAAAAAATCTATCTAAATGATTTTCTGCTGATAATCTAAGAGACGCCTTTCAGAAGGCCTTAAAGCCCCCTTCATCAATTATCCATTTCCTACCCTTCCTGATCTCTAAACATGCATGGCTCAGTAAGCATTTTTGTACATTCAGTGAATGTGTAACATGGTCAAATTCCTTTTTAGTTCTGTGGAAATTTAAGCAATGTGTCACTGTGATTCCTGTGCCTGGAGTTTCTCACATTCTCTTTCTTTAGCTTTTTAAATACCATGCATGCCTAAAAATAGAACTTTAATGCCACCTCGCATAAAATCACCCTGTGTTGAAATGAGCTGGCATCTGAATAACTTTGCATTTCACTACTCATCTGTGTCTTTTAGGAGTAGCTTTAAAAAAAATTCTAACCCTGTATATTATGCCAAGTTGTCTATGTTGATACGTCTTTATGCTATATTAAATTAGTTGCTTTGATGTGCAAGCTAGAAAAATAATGCTAGGCAGGGATTATGCACATGATACTTGCGCTAGGTTCGAGAATGAGACAGACAGACACTGTGGTTTCTGACGCTTTCAGGTGAGTGGCAGTGTGATGAGTATTTACAGTGGAGACTTTGGCAATCTTGAAGTGAAGGGACATATTCAGTTCGCAGTCGACTATGTGGAGTCACTGAAGGAGCTGCATGTTTTTGTGGCGCAGTGTAAGGACTTAGCAGCAGCAGACGTTAAAAAACAGCGTTCAGACCCGTAAGTACAGAACCATAAGAAGCCACTGACTTAATCAAAGGGAGGGGCTGTGTGTGACTGTATTAAAAGGAATATTTGAAAAGTTGGAGGGAGATGCTCTTTCATTTATGTTATAAATTCACATGCCAAACATTAAATTATAAAAACACAGAGAAGCACAAAAACAGTTCAGTCTGGAAGGGACCTTTGAGGTTGTTTTGTCCAGTTCCTTCATTTTACAGAGAAGGAAACAACGACTAGAGATAAGAAACCCATATCCGTGAATTCAGAGAGCAGCAAAGTGAAGAAAGAAACCTTGAACCCAGGTCTTTCCAGCACACTTTCAAACTTTTGCTTGATGTTTGGGGCCTAAAATATTCATTGGTGTGAAAATAATTAAGACTCTAGAATGAGGTAGTTTCCATATTTAAATCATGTACTTCAAAGAAGTTTGGGATTTCTTTTTCTTTTTTTGGTGTTAGTGGAGTTTGAACTCAGGGCCTTGCACTTGAGCCACACCTCCAACCCTTTTTGCTTTAGTTATTTTTCATATAGGGTCTTGCTTTTTGCCTGGACTGGCCTGGGACTGTGATCTTCCTACCTATGCCTCCTGCATAGCTGGGAGCACAGATGCATACCACCATGCCCAGCTTCTTTGCTGAGATGGGATCTTGCTAACTTTTTTGTCCCAGATAGCCTTGAACTGCAAAATCTTCCCAATCTCTGCCTCCCAGGTAGCTGGGAGTAATCCAGCTATTAAAGCACGGGTTTGATTGCGAAGGTCAAATGGTATTCTTCACTGGCCCTTTGTTTGGTCAAGCCCAATTCTTTTTTCTTTTATTCTTTTTCTATAGCACTGCCCAAGCTGTTTCTTTTATTTTAATTATAAAGGCAGTGGGGCTCAACATCCTTCACCTTTTTACATTAAATATGACCCAGTCAGATATGTACAAAGAAAACAATAACAAAGACATTAAAAACAACAACCCGCAAAGCATCAAAACTTTTTCTCAATCGGAAACAAACCAACAGAATTAAGCACTATGCTAGAAGTCTCACCCATTTCCCCCGCCATACACATTAGATAAAGCCAAAGGAAAATAATGAATTCAGGAAGATTTCTTTTAAAATCTTTCAAACAATATTAACTGATCCATTCTACTGAAGTCCCTTCAAACATTTAAGTGTAAAGGTGTTGATAGGAATTTTTATTTCTTACTGCTTCTCTCAGTGTCATGAAATAGTTATTTTTGCTGTCAGTTTTCACTATTTTTACATGTACAGGTAGAAACACAACTTTTATCTGCTCTGACTTTCTTGTCTATTCATGTTTCTTTTGTAGATATGTAAAGACCTATTTGTTACCAGACAAAGGCAAAATGGGCAAGAAGAAAACACTTGTAGTGAAGAAAACCTTGAATCCTGTGTACAATGAGATATTGCGGGTATCTGTAAACTCTATATATGAAAACCCTAAGTGGTGACTTGTGTATTTCATAGCCATATCTTCTTGGGTAGCGTCTGTTCAGATAAAGTCAGCAACCAAGAAAAAAGAAGGAAAGGAATAAAAATTTCCTGAGAATCTGCTCTGTATGAAACGGTACACCGTGAGTATTGAGCATGTTATCCAGGTACTCTTGTGCACACCTTGCCAGGTGGTGTCATTACCTACATGTCACAAATGAGCTTAGAGGAGTAACATAACTTGCTCAAAGATACGCAGAGGATAAAGCTGATCATTGCAACTAGAATGATATTCCGCAACACAGTTCTCATCATACTATTTTTCTGCTTAAAATCTTTGAAAATTCCCATTACCCTGCAGGTCAAGTCTGTCCTTCATAACATGCACACAACAGCTCCTTCACAACCTGCACTCCAGCCTCAATTTCTTCTATCATAATCTTTGTTCCTTTTTGTGGTTTAGAGGAAGTACATTTTCTGGCATTACTATGACTTTTTGTTTCTTCAGACTGGAATACTCTTCCCCACACTCTTTCCCTAACTGCTGCCTACATAGTCATTTTTATTATTGTTGGTACTGGGGATTGAACCCAGGGCCTTGTCTGGGGAAGGGCCCTACCACTTGATCCATGCCCTCAGCCCTACATCACTCGCCTCTTCCAATGGGTAGCTTCCCTTCACCCTACGATGCCCTGCCAGCTGCTGCCTCAGTACCCTTGCTTTCTGATGGTCATGTTAACACTCAGCACTTCAGTGGCTTAATTGTCTGCTTGACATTAAATTTCAAGTTCTGTGAGCACAGGGGCTAACACTGTGTTGTACGTAGGCTGTGTGCCTTTGGGCAAAGAACATGTCTGCACTTCGGATCTGAGAAATGGGGAAAATGAGAGTTTTTGACTCTGCAAAGGGAAGAAATGGTACTTAGCTACCTACTTCAGTAGTTGTGGATGTTAAGAGAGTTCATATATGTGAAGTGATCACACATTAACAATTTAACAAATATTGGCTGGTGGTACAATGTCTAGGGAAGGTATCCAAAAATGTTTATTGGAAGAATGGATGGATAGCTGAATAGAAAGTATTCCTGGCTCACTTGAGTAACCACATTCTTTTTTTCCCCACAAGCTGCATCATGCTGTCTTTGCCATGACTGACAGATTGTTTAAAACTAAAAATAAAAGAGGTGTTGTTTATTCCCTCTCTCTGAAAGCTCAATTATTTGATTTTCCTCTGGGAAAAGAAAAAGAAGCAGTTAAATGAACTGTCAGTCATCCACGGTTGAACTAGCTATCTGTAGATTTTCTGTAACAAGTTTTTAATTATGATTTGACTTGATATACCCCAGTACTCCAGCTATTTCTGGGACAGCTACTTCAAGAAAAGCCAGCTAATTTACATGGTGGATTCAGAGAAAGGCAGGTCTGCTACAACCAAAATGAACCTTCAAGTAGTATGTCATAAAGGAAAATGGAGATTATTTTTGGATTAGAAGTACTATTATTCCTTTCATGATTATATATAATCTAAGATTGACTAGAGATGAAAACTTGCCAGGATGTCACATCTTTTCTATGTGACCATGGGAAGCTGGAAAAAAAATTACATTTTTGAAAAAAAAAATCTTTTCCTTGTGGAATATGTTGATAATGATGGGGAGATTCATATATTAGGGCAGATTGTATATGGGAACTTGGTACTTCTGCTCAACTTTGCTGAAAAAACTATTCTGAAAAAAAACCCAGAAACTGGATTAAATTTGATTTAGAAAACGAAAACTGGATATATATAAAAAATCTGAAATAAACTTGATTTATAATTTCAGATTGAATTTGATTTGTGTTATATCTAGTCTAAAAACATCCAGAAAAAGTTGAATAATTGGCTTTTGTTTTTAAAACGCTATTTATGGCTCTGATATTTGATCCATGGTTTGCTTTCTCCAGAGTGGGGAAGAACATTAGCTCTTGTGAAAGATTGATTTTAGCTCTTTGAAATAAGACACTTAGAATAAGATGACTTTGCAATATTTTTGAGACTTTAAACCTAACATGAGAAAAGCTGATGACTTTTCTCTTCATTTCTGAGTCATAACTTTGGCATAAAGTAATGCTATTCATCATTTCTATTTTCTTCTTTGAATTGCAGTATAAAATCGAAAAGCAGATCTTAAAGACACAGAAGCTGAATGTGTCTGTTTGGCACCGGGATACATTTAAGCGCAATAGTTTCCTAGGGGAGGTGGAACTTGATTTGGAAACCTGGGCCTGGGACAACAAACAGAACAAACAATTGAAGTGGTACCCTCTGAAGCGCAAGGTAGGGGCTGAGTTTTCTTGTTTGGGTGGTTGGGTTGGCTTGGGGTTTGGTGTGTAGGAAAACGCCCAGTTGCATTTAACTCACACTGCTTGGGTGCTGGTATAGTTTGGGATCATTTTAAACTAGGGTTGAACTTATTTGGCTTGTACATTCAGTGAAAAAGATTGTAGGAAGAATGTTTAAATCATTTAATGCAACTGTTTGTGACTTTAGCCTTCAGGGAGGTCATTTAAGAAATTCAGTCCTAGCTGGGTGCCAGTGTCTCATGCCTGTTATCTGAGCTACTTGGGAGGCTGAGATTGGGAGGTTCACAGTTCCAGGCCAGCTCCAACAAAAAGTTTGTGAAACCCCATCTCAAGGGGAAAAAAGCTGGGTGTGGTGGCATGGTCCTGTCATCCTAGCTATGGTAGGAAGCCTAAAATAGAATTATGGTCCAGGGGCAAAAAGAGAGACCCTACTTCCAAAATAACCAGAACAAAAAGGGCTTGAGGCATGGCTCAAGCAGAACAGTGCCTGCTTAGCAAGTTCGAAGCCCTGAATTTAAACCCCACAGCCACAAAAAGAAATGGAAGGAAGGGAGGGAGGCAATAAAAGAAAGAAAAAAAAAAATACAATACTTTGAAATTGGAGATATACTTTTTGCCTAGCATATGGTTAGATTTTGATAAATATTCCATTTGTCACTTCAAAAGAAAGTGTACTTTATGGTTGATGGATGCAATGTCCTGTATCAGTTAGGGCTACAGTGGTTGCTAAAATCTTTTTTATCCTTTCTGATTTTATGTCCATTTTTAATGAATTACTCAGAGAGACAGATAACTGAGTATTTGTCTTTTGTCCGTTTAGTTTTTGTTGGGGTAGCTGCTTCCCCCACTCCTCCACTCCAACACCCACTGGGTTAAAACTACAGTGTTGCACATGCCAGCAAGCACCTGCCACGAATTACAGCCCCGGCCTGTTCTGTTGGTTTTGACTTATTTATTTTGAGGTTGTCTTATTAAGTATATATATATTTAGAACTGCTATTTTTCTAATGGGTCAACTACTTTATCATTTGAAAATAACCCTTTTTATCTGTAGTAATACTTTTTTGTTTTTGTTTTTGTTTTTTTGGTGGGACTGAGGGCTTTTCAACTCAGGGCTTTGTGCTTGCAAAGCAGGACATTCTACTGTTTGAGTCACACCTCCAGTCCATTGGTTATTTTGGAGTCTCTTGAAATACTTGCCTGGGCTGGCCTTGAATCATGATCCTCCTGATGTCAGCCGCCCAGTAGCTAGGATTACAGGCAGGAACCACTGCATGACTACTTCTTTTTAAAAAGTCTTTATTTTGTGTTAGTTTAGCTCTGTCAGTTTCCTTTTGGTTAGCAGTTTGTTTCTGTCCTTTGATAAATTTTCTGAATTCTTATAGTTAAGATATGGTTCTTACAAGCAATTGTTTTTAATTTTTTTAGTCTGAGAATATTTGAGTTCATTTGCACCTAATGAAATTATTGACATATTTGTGTTCAAATCTGATGCTGCTGACCTGACAGCTCTGGGAACCACCGGTCTACGGTATTTCTCCAGTGTCATTTCCTCTTTAGCAGGCTGTGGGTCCCATGGTTGTCTTCCCAGTCCCATGAAACTGCCACAAGACCTGCAGAGCTTCTCCATGTCTATCTGCCATGATTCTCAGGTTCTCAGTTTGGCATTACTTAAAACTCAGTTCATGCTACAAAGCTTTAAAGTGAAAAGCAGAGAACCATGGCAGGCTCTCAGGTCTTGTCCCTTTGAGTCCTTTCTTGCCTCAGTAGTTCTTTAGCCCCCTTGAATTGATTTTTTTAAAAATCCTGATTGTTTTATTGTTTTCAGTGAGAAGGTTGATGTGGTCCAAGCTAGTTCACATAGGTAGAAGTGATAAATATAAACAACTACAATAATGTAGACCATTATTTAGTGCCTATATAATTAAACAGTTCCACTAAGGAAATAGTTCCTATAGGTTGCATCAGAATCACTTGAAGCACTTATTTCTAGCCTACCCCATGTTCCTCGGAAGATATCCCTTGCAGCTCACTTTTAACTAGCTCCTGATACATTTCTGATGCATACCCAAGTTTTATTTATTTATTTTTTGGTGGTGCTGGGAGTTGAACTCAGGGCCTTGTGCATTCCAGGCAAGCACTGTACCCCTGAGCTACATCTCCAGCCCCATACCCGAGTTTTAGAACAAGATGCTGCAGAACCAGAGTTTGAAAGTAAAACCACCTGAAAATCACAGATATACATTTTTATGTTATTATCCAGTTTGTTTTTGAGTGGTATTGGGGTTTGAACTCAGGGGCTCTGCACTAGGTAGACAGACCTTCTATCGCTTGAGTCATGTCCCTAGCCCTTTTTGCTTTAGTTTTTTTTTTAGTACTATGGTTTGAACTCAGGGCCTCATGCTTGCTAGGCAGGTGCTCTTATCACTTGAGCCACTCCACCAGCCCTTTTTTTTGGTCATGACTTTTTTTTTTTTTTGAGCTAGTGTCTTGGGAACTGTTTGCCCTGAGCTGACTTCAAACCACTATCCTCCTGATCCCTGCCTCCTAGGATTATAGGTGTGAGCCACTGGTACAAGGCTGCTTTAATTATTTTTAAAGATAGGGTCTGATGGTTTTCCTCAGGCTAGCCTTGAACTGCAATCCTTCTACCTGTGACTCCTGTGTAGCTGGGATTACAGAAATGTACCACCTCATCTGGTTTGTTTGTTGAGATGAGGGCTTACTAACTTTTTACTTAGGCTGGCCCCAACTTGCAATCCTCCCAATTTTTGCCTCCTGCGTAGCTGAGATTTCAGGTGTGAACCACCATGCCTGGCCAGTCTTTGTTGTTCTTACAGACTCTGTCATATTTGGCCTATAATAATCAGGTCGGTACTGCTTTGAAATTGACTCTCCACCCTCCCCCCACCATCCCACACTATCTTTTGTACTTCAGAGAAAGGGATTATGAATAAAATGTTTTACACATTTGCTCAATAAATAACAAATTGTATACATTTTAATAAAAATGCAAGCTTCCCAGGATACCTCTTCCATCTCTGAACAAACCATTCTGATTTCTTCACCATCTTTGAGACTAAAAGGCCATGAAATGTTTTCTGAGTACCCTACAAGGTTTTTCTAACATACGTAACATTGCTTCTATGCATATTGATCATAAGTGATAGGATATAAATTATATGCAAATGAATCTTCCCTTTAGGAAGATCCAGAAGTCACAAGATGGTGGCCTGGCTGTAGTTTGGACTAAAGATGCATGTTCCCTGCCCTCTGATGCGTAAAAGCGACAGTCTAGCTCTGATGCAGAGGGGAATGTTAATTCAGGGCACTCAAGTGATATACATTGTCCCAGTGATGGACAGATATGGTCCTGTAACAGTGTAATCACAAATAGGACAAAATGTGTGTACCTCACACCTGCTGACGGTCTTCATTTTTCAGACAGCACCCATTGCTCTTGAAGCAGAAAACAGAGGTGAAATGAAACTTGCTCTCCAGTATGTTCCAGAGCCAATCCCAGGTATGTAATGATTTTCTATTCAGATACATGCCTTTCCTTCTTCCTCCTTCTCCAAAGACTTACTTGGGTTCTATTATTTTTTCAATGATGAAACCCTAAACAAAAGTATTAAGTTAATAATCAAATAGACCAAATGAGTCAATTCATAGTTGTAAACCTGAAGACTCTCATTTTTTTTCTTATTGTAAAAAAACCTTATAGCATAGAATTTACCACTTTAACAATTTGTAAATGTACAGCTCAGTAGTGTTAATTTACATTGTTGTGAAACATATCTCTAGACCTTTTCCTCTTGCCCCATTAAACAACAAGTCCCCTTTTCCTTTACATAAGACCTTAGTAATCACCATTCTACTTTCTGTTTCTATGAGAAAATTCTCATTTTTTCAGTCCACTATATAGTCCTTGTTTTAACTTTTCCTCATTCTCCAAAATGTTTGTATCTGTACCACGTGAGTGGCCTTTCCTGAATTCAGTACTTGGGCCTATTGGTAGTGCTGTAATAAGGATAGAAGTTGCGTGTTCTTTTTCACAGGTGGAAATTAGGATTCATACGAAGTCTCTAAAAAGTTAGAGCTCAGTGGTCCTCCACTCAGAGTCTCATTAGGAGATGAAGCTTTTTTTCCAATATTACTAATTACATCTTTGACATTATGGCCTGGAGTCCTCAGCCCAGTTAAGTTGCAAAACACTGTCAGGAAATGAATACCAGATACCCCCCCCCCACCCGCACACTTCCATTTCCCAAGCAAGTTCTCAAGGTATTCATTCTCCTTAGTAATCTGTATGAATGTTATGGCTAAAATTGGGGTTTGCAAACTCAAGTGTTTCAGTAACCAGGCAGTGAAGCTAATGATAGCAAAGAAATAATGGATGCTGAGGGCAGTGGTCAGATTCGAAAAAGGTATTCATTCAATTTTTAAAAATCAAGAGGGCAACAAAATCATATCATTAGGCCAAACTATAGCCAAATCGTCATCCTGTGACTTCTGGATCTTCCTAAAAGATAGATTTTTTTGCCTACAATTTGTATCTTCCTATCACGTGTGGTCGACATACAGAGAAATGCAACTTCATTTATCATTTCCCCCACTATCACTTGGTGGTGGAATCCAGGAAAATTATGGGTTGTGGTGGACTCCACCTTGTTTGAGTTTTTGCTTATGTAGCTTTTACTTCCTAGAATGGGCTTCATCTTCTTTTTAGCCTATCCAAATCCTAGGTGAATTCCCATCCCCTCGCTAAAGCTTTTCCAGACTAAATTAGCCCTCATTGATCATGTCATCTTCTAGAGCATTACAGTATCAACTTGGCATTTCAAACTATATGTTTTTTTCTCAACATTTATTTCTTTATTTTATTAATTTATTCACATGTGCGTACATTGTTTGGGTCATTTCTCCCCCCTTGTCCCCCGCCCCCACCCTCTCCTCCCAACCCCCCTCGCTTCCAGGCAGAGCCTATTCTGCCCTTATCTCTAATTTTGTTGAAGAGAAGACATAAGCATAATAAGGAAGACAAAACGTTTTTGCTAGTTGAACTAAGGATAGCTATACGGAGAGATTCCTAGCATTGCTTCCATGTACAAATGTGTTGCAACCCAAGTTGATTCATCTCTAACTGATCTTTACACTGGTTCCTGATCCCCTTCTCATGTTGACCTCTGTCACTTTAAGGTTTCTGTATTAGATTCTCTGAAGTGGAGACATCAAATACTTTCATGTTTTGGGTTTTCTACCTATCCCCATACCTCCCACATGTGCTCTTCCCTTGTCATGTGACCCAAGTCCAACCACATTGCTGTATTTGACCTAGAACTAAAGTCTGCAAACGAGGGACAACATGATTTTTGGTCTTCTGAGTCTGGCTAACCTCGCTCAGAATGATGTTCTCCAGTTCCATCCATTTACTTGTGAATGATTTCATTCTTCTTCATGGCTGAGTAAAATTCCATTGTATATAAATACCACATTTTCTTGATCCATTCGTCAGTATTGAGGCATCTTGGTTGTTTCCGTAACTTGGCTATTGTGAAAAGTGCTGCAATAAACATGGGTGTTTATTCCAAAGTGCTGCCTTTGGAGTAACCTGAGTCACATTCCTTTGGGTATATCCCTAGGAGTGGGATTGCCAGATCATATGGCAGATCTATGTTTAGATTTTTAAGAAGCCTCCAAATTTTTTTCCAGAGTGGTCTCACTAGCTTGCATTCCCACCAGCAGTGTATGAGGGTTCCTTTTTCCCCATATCCTCACCAACACCTGTTGTTGGTGGTGTTTTTGATGATAGCTATTCTAACAGGGGTGAGGTGGAATCTTAGTGTGGTTTTGATTTGCATTTCCTTTATGGCTAGAGATGGTGAGCAGTTTTCCATGTGTTTTTTGGCCATTTGAATTTCTTCTTTTGAGAAAGTTCTGTTTAGTTCAGTTGCCCATTTCTTTATTGGTTCATTGATTTTAGGAGAGTTTAGTTTCTTAAGTTCCCTGTATATTCTGGTTATCAGTCCTTCGTCTGATGTATAGCTAGCAAATATTTTCTCCCACTCTGTGGGTGGTCTCTTCAGTTTAGAGACCATTTCTTTTGTTGTGCAGAAGCTTTTTAATTTAATGAAGTCCCATTTGTCCATTCTTTCTCTTAGTTGCTGAGCTCCTGGGGTTCTATTGAGGAAGTCCTTGCCTATACCTATTGCTTCCAGAGTATTTCCTGCTCCTTCCTGTACTAACTTCAGAGTTTCGGGTCTGATATTAAGGTCCTTGATCCATTTTGAGTTGATACTAGTATAGAGTGATAAACATGGATCTAGTTTCAGTTTCTTTCAGACGGATAACCACTTTTCCCAGCAACATTTGTTAAAGAGGTTATCTTTTCTCCATCATATATTTTTGGCGCCTTTGTCATCACAATATGTTTTTATAATTTTTATTTGAATTGATTTCTCCTGCTTAACTGTAAATGTTTCCCAAGAGCATAGATTATGTCATGTATTCCTTATATATCTAATGACATTCCTGTCATAGGGGTGAGTACATTATAGACTCTCATTAAATACTGTTTGGTTGACTGATTGGGCTAAGCCATCCAGAAAATTCTGATAGTGCCCTCTGACAATGTGAACCCAGACTAGACAGCAGCTTCAGACTAAACCAACTTCATACTAATTCTCAACCCATAATATTAAGTATCATATGTGCATATGCAATATCCCTATAAAATATGTAAACATTTTTAACAAAAAAAAAGTGGTTATATCTTAACCAGTACCTGTTTTGGTTACTTTACACTCAAATGTGTTTGAAATACCAGCACCATTAGAATTAATGTTTGAAAATACTATGCATTTTGATTATAACGATGATGGATGACTCACATCTCTCATACCTGATCATATTGAACCAAGCAACCACGAAAAAAGAATGGTGAAATACGCAGTACTTAGAAGCGAAGTGATTTTTTTTCATTTTCATGAATTATTTTTGAGCTTTCTGAGCTCAGTTCAGCCAAACTATGAAAGATAAAGTTAACAGTGTATACGTTTAATCAATTTAATACCATCATTTACTAGCTAGTATCCCTATACTTCTTCATTTTTAAGGTGACAGCTTTAGATACAATATTACCAAAAGAGAAATTGCCATATAAATTTTCCCTCCTTGTTCTATTACAGGTAAAAAGCTTCCTACAACTGGAGAAGTCCACATCTGGGTGAAGGAATGCCTTGATCTACCACTGCTAAGGGGAAGCCATCTAAATTCTTTCGTTAAATGGTAACAGCATTAATGACTTAGCATTCTTCCATTCTAGCCTAGCCTTTTCTGGTTGGTTTCAGTTCTCCATGTCTATAATGCTGAAACTTATCAGTCATAGTTTAAATGAATTTATGTGGAACAATGGAGACATCAACTTGAGGAATCTGTAATATCAACTTCCAAGACTTCATTTAGTTTTAAAATCATAAAACTAAGAGTTCATATGTATGAATAAAGCTAGAGATCTCAAACTCAGATATGCAATGTCTTCTGTGGGTGTATCTGTTGGTGAGGGCAATAGTTAGTACAAAAGAGTTTACCAAATTTCTAATGGTGGATGTCATACTCTTTGGCTCCATTGTGGAGCAGAGAGAATTCCTCTTCTCCTTTGTCCTACATTTTGTGGCCCATTTGCATCAAACTACAACTATTTGGAAATAGTTGTATTTATATGCTAAACAAACCCCTACCAAGAGTTACTTCATAACAGCTTAAGATAGTTCGGGTTTTTAAATGGGAAACATTTTTCTCTGTTACATACACATAGATAATAACCATACAGATGTTAGTGTGATCTCATAGTTCCCGCAATTTTATCCATACAGATTCCACTAGAAGATAAAGTTGTCTCTATTTAAATATGTGTGCCATAGATTAAGTATACATGAGATTATGTATGATTTTCCCTATATACATTCTTTGTAGATGTCAGCTGATAAGATTTTTCAGCTCAAGTTGGAATCCTAGCCTGAGACCTCAGACCTTCTTGCTTTTACAATATGCATGGTAGATTAAACTTCACTCAATTATTATCATAAATGAGACATAATGATTGCAAAAAATCATGCCATTTATTCCCACAGTCAAGTCTAGCAAATTGGAGAGGTTCTTCTTCTTTTTCAATTCTGTATAACAGTTATTCCTTAGGCTGTTATAGACATTCAGGAACATAGAATGTGCTTCTAAATTTTAAAGGAATCTTCAAACAGTTGCTACCATATAAAGCATTTACTAAATATAGGCATTGAACTAAGCATTTTGTATGTTACTTAATTCTAATGTCAACTTTTTAAAGTCAGCATCACCATTCCGGCTTTGCAGGTGAGCACCTTTTCCTAGAATGCACAGCTAATAATGGCAGAGTCAGGATTCAAACCAAGTTGGATTGTCTTTATGTCCAGAACTCCCCTACCATCTGCCAAATCACCATCACTGTCTACCCAGTAGCTGTGCTGAAGTGTACTGAAAGCATAAATGTTCACTTTCATACTATCACAATAAGGCCTGTTTTTTTAGTACCATCCTTCCAGATACAAGTAGGAAAAGTCGCCAGAAGACAAGAGCAGTAGGGAAAACCACCAATCCTATCTTCAACCACACCATGGTGTATGATGGGTTCAGGCCTGAAGATCTGATGGAAGCCTGTGTAGAGCTTACTGTCTGGGACCATCACAAATTAACAAACCAGTTTTTGGGAGGTCTCCGGATTGGCTTTGGAACAGGTAATGTTTGTTACATTTTTTTTTTACTCTCCTTGAGCCAAATTCTCCTGGAGACAGTAGAGGTTTGTTTGCTGCTTTGCTTCTTCCTAATGATAATAGATACCCTATCTCCACTAAATGTAAAGAAATGAATGAGTGGAGGAGTGTCAGGCTGTGTGCCAAGGGCTCTGAATATGAGGATTAACAGGGAGCAGTATCTCTCTTTATAGAGCTTAATTTATAGTTGATGAGGGATGAGGTACAAAAATACTTTTATCACATCCCTCTCCCCCAAAAAAAGAGATTATGGTCCTTCAGGGCTAAAAGTATACTTTGAATAATTACAGTATCATTTCTGGAGAACTAGTCACTGTATTAAATGCTTTATTTGTTTCATTTAATCCTTATAATAATTCTGTAAGATAATTAGTAATATTATCTCCTAAGGAACTGATACTCTAAAAAATGAAGTAACTGAGTTACTAAGAGACAGAGCCAAGATTTGAAATTAAGTCTTCCAGGCACTAAAGCCTTAACCACATGTCCTGAGGGACATCTAGAGTCACTTCTAACCCCATGCAGAATCCTCCCAACTTCTCCATGCCCCTGACAGATCGTCAGCTAGCCTTTATGTCCATATGAGGAGAAACCATTGCCTGGGAATGATGAGAACGTCTCAGTATTGGAGTCATTCAGACAGTCAAATAGCTTTTCCACGTCTTGTGTCCCAGATCTGCCCTCCATTTATGTGAAAACTCTCATTGTCTTCTGTTGGTGATTATAATTAGGGAATAACTCTCTCCCCTCTTTATTTCCTTCCAATGGATTATTCCTTCCTGAATGCAAATTTTTGGTTTTTTTTTTTTTTGTTTTCATTTTTTGGGTTTTTTTCCAGGCAAGAGCTACGGGACTGAAGTGGATTGGATGGATTCTACTTCAGAGGAAGCTGCCCTCTGGGAGAAGATGGTAAATTTCCCCAACACTTGGATCGAAGCGACGCTGCCCCTCAGAATGCTTTTGATTGCCAAGATTTCCAAATAAGCTCCTCACTGAAAACCCTACCCTGCTGGAGTCTGACCTAGAAAATCTGACTGCATAGGCAGATATCCTCACTTCCTATCTGTGGCTGCAGTGAATACTACACAGCATGTCTAAGTCAGTCTGCATGTGTTTTTTTGATTACAAAGGACCAGGGAATTTAAATAATGACAAGATGTGTGACTCCAACATTAAAGAAGAGATTTGAGCAAGCTAGTGAAACTGATTTGCTGCTGCTCAAGGAAAAACCTGTCCAAAATGATTAAATTTGGGGTATTTTTAACCAGAAAAATGTTCTAGTTTCCATTCACATGTTTCATGCCACAATCTTGTATTATAGTTAAAGCCTGCTACTGGATTATTGAAACCCTTGCTGGGCTTATGAATAGGTAGATTGTAGAAAAAAATCAACAGAAAAGATATTCCTGGAGTGAGGAGGGAGAGGAAGAACATCATGATGAGAGAGATGACACAGTAAGATAACTATTTAGTCTGTAATCTCTAATAAATATGGAAGTCCATGTTAAAACAGTAAGACTGGATTTCTTGCAGGGATATTTGCCTTGAATACACTTGCTTTCACTTTTCCTCAGTCTCAGTTGTATCTTGCTGCCACCCACTGGCTATAAATGGAATTTAGTTCTTGGATTAAAACGGCTTAGTTCTAAGAGGTCTCAAGCCTGTGTTTTGTAATAGAGTATGTTTTTAAAAATCTTGCATATATATGATTTTCTTATAACTATACTGTATGAAAGTAGAATAACAGTAGTCACATATATGCTTTGCAACAAAGTTTTAATTAGAATATAAATTGTCGAATTTTACTGTACTTCCCATGTATGTATAACTTTCATATTTTGTAAAAACTATTAGAATAAATTATAATATGATTTAAATTGTATTGGCAAATTAGTTTGACTTTTCTTTTATTTATGGTAGTACTGGGATTTGAACTTGGGACCTCACACTTCCTAGGCAGATGTTCCACCCTTAAGCCACATCCCAGGCCCTGTTTTTGCTTTTTAGTTATGTTTTTGGATAGGGTCTCATGTTTTTGCCCAGGGTCAGCCTCAGTCCACAATCTTACCTGTGCCTCCAGGTAGCTGGAATTGCAAGGCACTTGCCGCCACACCCAGCTTGTTGGTTGATATGGGGTCTCACTAACTTTTTGCAGTGGCAGGCTTTGAACCTCTATCCTCTTGATTTCTACCTCCTGAGTGGCTAAGATTACATGTATGAGCCACTGTGCCCAGTCCTGATTTCTTATTTTAAACCAATACTTTATATTAGGAAACCTAAAATCTAAATTCTGTAACAGGCTACAGAACTTCTCTTAGGCAATGTTTCTCCAGTCTTTACTATGACTCAAGGGGCACCTCCCTCTCCCCCCCACTCCTCACCAAGGCTCAGACGAATTGAGAGCTGGAACCTGTCCAGGCCCCTGACCCGCATGTACACCCCTGGAAGCTCACTGGCACATCCACCATTCTGGTCAGAGCTGGCTGCCACCTTCCAGCTGCATCTGGTAGGCCAGCTGCTGACCCAGCATGGAGCTGCTCTGTAGGCCCAGACTGGCCAGCTCCAGAAACCCTGTCCTTTCTTCCTCAAGTTGCTGCTTGTCTCTGGACTGTACATTCACCTGAGCTCAGCTGGCTGGGGTTGATGGTCATCCTGCTCTGGTTTGCTTCTGGCCGCTGGTGGCCTTCAGCTCCTGCAACTCAAGCAGGGTGTTCTTCAGAGGTGCAGCCCCCTCCTCACACTCCCTCACTACCACCGTGGTCCTGCACTTCCACTTCTCTCTGAGCTTCTTCTCAGATAGCTTTATAACTTCAATTACAGCCATCACTCAGGCCACAGCCTCAATTTCTCCTTGGGCAAAATGGCCTTTGTCTCTGCACCCCTTCTGAGGGAGATCATGCTCCTCTGGTCCTGCTCTAGCCTCTGCACCACGGCACTGGGGTCAATCTGGGTCTTGGCAAAGATGTCAGTGTGGATGAAAGCCCATTCTTTTCCTATTGCACCTGCCAAGGCCTGCAGAAAGGCCCGCTCCTTACCTGGGGCATCAGGCCGTAGGCTGCCTCCCCTAGTGCCACACTGTGGCTGGTGCATGGTTCACAGCCCAGTTCCTGAGAGAGAGCCTCATGGGTCCCAGTGGGACCCTCCTGTAAGCTGACCAATATTTATTCTTAAAAAGTTTTCCACAGAAACTTCTTGGGATGATTTTAGTAAGTGAAACATTGAAACATCATTCACCCTTAGAACCCAACTAGCTTACCCTTCTCAGATCAAGCACTGATTTAATGTAGATTTGGGGAAGCACAGTATTTAATACATGTCATTAAAACCACTAGAGAGAGTGCTTGCCTCTTTCCCCAGATATTACAGCCTTGTATCCATTTGTTAATAGATCGACTAACCTCGGACAATACCCTTTCCACTGTCTTCTTGGTCCATTATGGGAGTGTTGCCTTTACTGTCTCTGACCTTGGGGAAAGGGAAGATGAGTTAAGAAGAGTCGCGCCTCCGAGGCTGACCTAGCAAACCCTGTCGCTGTTGTGGTTTGTGCCAAGTCAGAGTACAAAGATGCCTCCTTCCAGTTACCTGTTCAGTCACCTCCCAGCATCCAGCCAGCTTGGTGCACTAATGAGTTTGGTTCTAGTATTCCCCCTCCCCCTCCTAGAGCCAGGACCACCTCCACCTGTCCCCATATTTCTCACCTTTGCAACACTGGTGTGGACCACAGACTCATCCACTGTCCTCACACTGCCCTTCTCCACAGTACTTCTGGTCACCTCAGAAATTCAAGGGAATTCATGCCACATTTCCTTCTGGAAAACCCAAATCATAAATTTAATCTCACTTGGGTATAAATAGAAAAATAATGTGTGAACTTCCTGCATTTTAAAATGCAAGCAACCTGAATTCTTTACAGAATTTAGATCAACAGGTTTTTTTGGTTTTTGGTTTTTGTTTTTTTTTTTTTACCAGTGTGACTTTTAGGCAAAAGGCTTGGCTGAAACTTCAAAGCGTATTTTCTTAAATTGGAAACATTTCCTTGAACTGCATATTTTAGAGCTTTTTATTTTCAGGGTTTTCCTCCCCCAGAAACTCAATTGGAAATAAGCCCCAAAAGGGACTGATTGGACAGACACTGAGCTAGCTCAGTAACCATGGAATTAAAGAAGTACTGTAGGAATCTACATTACTTTGGGAACTTGCAGTCGGGAGCTAGGAATTCAAATGTTCTCTCTTTTCCCTCAGAGACTGGGAAATAGCTCCTCAGGCAGGTATAGCCACTCAGCCTCCCATCTAGAGCACTTCTTTTTCCTAGGCTGTGCTTCAGAAATCTCTAGGGAAAGCTGACTAGGTTGACACCCTGTCCTCATCTATTGGACCATTCACTGTGGCCTCGAGTGAATACAGTATGACCTCATGATTGACCCACCCTGGGCTGTGGGGAAATTGGTTCATAGTTGGAAGAAAGGGATAGTGTATAAAGATGGATAGTTGCAAAATCAAGACCTGGGCATTCATAAAATTTGTCTCTCAAGTGAAAATCATTAAAGCTTCCATTATTTAAAAAATGAAGTAATATTTGTAAGAATCATTGATGATTCTTTCCAGAGAGGCCTAAATTCCCTCATCCACCATGACTGCTACAGGTTCTCAGTAGATGGTAAGGCTCCTGGGAACCCCATTGATTCACATGGCCTAGGAGTCCACTAAAAGCATGCCTACTGTTAGCCTCGGTGAACTTCTTCCAGAGCTGCCTATTGCCCTTCCTTGCCAGAGAACTTGTTTGGACTTCTTTTTACACATCCCTGTCATATACTCACATCAAATAAAAAGTCCCTCAACATCTGCCTTTCCCTGTTTTGCTTTGAGATTGCTCTCCCATCTTCTCGCTCATCTGTACTTTCTCTCAGGCTTATACAGTAATTTCACTAGTGTGTGTCATAAACTAAACTCTGTGATCCCACATATGTGATCCAATCACAGAATATTCCTTCTACTTCTTTGTCTGGCTTGTTCCTAAGATCTGGTTCTTTTTGCCTTGAGAAAAGCAGACTATTCTCCCACATTGAAGTCAGGATACAGAATCAGATTTCAGACCACTGCTCCTCTATCTTCTTGTAATCTCTGCTTCTAAAGACATTTGTCATCCAGTTACATCAGGAAGGGAGTAGATTATAGTGGTTAAGTGGCCTCCAGAACCAGAGGGTTTGGATTTGAATTCCAGTTAAACCACTTGGTGATATGACCTTGGGCAAGTTACCTAATTTATTAGGTTCATCTGTTAAAAAAAAAAAAAAAAGTAAATTGCATCTACCCTGTAGGCAAAAGGAAATGAATGGATACAAAGTGTTCATGCTTGACAAATTGCTGTCAGTAAATACATTTGCTATTATTTATTCCCTTTCCTCCATCTTAAGGTCATTTGCCATCCTTCCACTAATCTCACTTATTGAAGATCCTGGCACCCGGCTCCATGGCCTGGAGAATATTTTAGTTCCTTGACTAAATAGGACTAGAATGTCCTTAACTTCTATTGTTTTTCAGTCACACATACCCCCAAGAACCTCACTGTTACTGGGAACTATTCTATGTTTGAAATATTATCTTCAAACCTCCCATTCTGAGCAAAATGTTCTATGCTTTCAGCTTTCAGTTCATTATTCTATAACATCTATTCTCAAAATCCACTGAAGACTCCCTTCCCTAAACTCCCTATCACTCCCATTAGCACTCCTCTAATCCAGTCAACTACTTTCTTACCAAGAGCCTCAATATTTTTTACTTTCATTTCTTTCCACGGAATACCTACTCTCCAGCTCTAGTGCAGAGCTCAGCTGTACATAATTCCAACTGAAATACTCTGTTCCTTATGCTTTTGGTTGGAGAAAAATCACACAGCACCCTGCCCACAACAGTGATACAAAATTAACAGAGAACTAGAGTCCTAGTGGCTTAACATCGGCAATATTTTGTTTGTAGTTTGTTTTTTGAGGTCTTTTCTAATCCCTGTTACTCTGGATCTTGTGGTACTAGAGTTTGAACTCATGTGCTTGCTAGGCAGGTGCTCGATTACTAGAGTCAAATTCCCAGCCCCTCACTTTCATTCTATGGGCTCCTTCAGTGTTCTTTCTGTGAGGCAAAAAAAAAATTCCCATTTGCATAGTCAAACTGAATTGGGTTTCTATCAAAATAATCTTTACTAATACCCCTCTTTCCACCTGAATCAATATGATCAATTATCTACTTCCATCACTAAACTATAATTGAAAGTTAAGACTACAAATTTGTTGAACATAGTTTTTCAATACATGTGAGATGAATGAATGAGCAAAGAAAGAAGTGTGGCCTAAGACTGGTGAGCTCAGTATCAGATACATCTGGATAAGAGACGTCCAAATGCCTAGTCCCATGTAAGGTATTTAGAAGAGCTGGGTAAATAGTAACTAGAGAGAGCATTGGATTAGTTTTATGGCTTGGACTTTTGGGAAGAGGATGTACTGGATACTTTCAGAATGAAAGACAGCTGGGGGAAAATGGTTGAACAAAGAAAATAACCATGGCAGAGAAGAGGCAAAAGTGACTAGCAAATTGTAAATCCTTTGAGAAGAGCAATTTAATTTTGTTATTGTACACTTCCCACCCAGTATCGTATGTGGCACATGCTTGCTGACTATATTAATAAATCTCTTGAGGTTCTTAGCCATGATAAGTAATCTATGCACTTCAAATTATTTAAACTAATTTTGAAATAAAGAAATATAATTTTTAATGTGGGAAAACTAATGGACAAATACTACTAAGCATCCATTTTGTGCAAGGGACTTAGGTAGAACGGGGGGAAGCACCCATGACCTCACTTTTGAGAAACAACTGCTATTAATATTTTGAGGATCTTTCCTGTCTTCTTTTCCTTTTTTTCTTCAGAAATATATTTTGTGAATTCACTTAATTACATCACACAACCATATAAGATAATCAGTAAATACCATCTTATTTTTGGAGGTGCTGGGGTTTGAACTAAGGGCCTTACACTGGCTAGGCAGGTGCTTCAGCACTTTCCTCATGCCTCTAGCCCTTGTTTGCGTTAGTTACTTTTTGAATAGGGTCTAGTGTTCATGCCCAGGCTGGCAAGGACTTTGGTCTTCCTATTCACGTTTCCCACCTAGCTGGATGATAGGCATGTCCCATTTACGTGCAGCTTTTATTGACTGAGATAGGGTCTCTCGAACTATTTGCTAGGGCTGGCCTTGATCCCCAACTCCTGAGTAGCTGGGATTACAGGTGTGAGCCACTATACCTGGCTACAATTTCAATGTACATAAAATTAGAAGAGGACCATTCTAATTTTCTGGTCACTTTGCCTTGACTTTGCAAGTTCCAGTTCTGCATATGAAGCTTGAAATTGAAAAGTGAAAAAGAAATTTTTAAATTACAATAAATTTAATTCATATTTTAAAAGTCTTTGGAACCCACTTTCACAAAACTTCAATATTCTATAATTTAAGTACTTGTTAAAATTTCAGTTTAGGATATGTCCACAGTCCTCAGCCTTGCCTTTTATAGGCAAGAAATTCATGATTTGGGAAACAAGACCCTAGTATTTGACACTGAAGGAAAATTTTGAAATGCTTCTTTTTGATCTGTTTTACTCCCAGTGAGATTTGAAGCATTAAAAAAAGGAACCCAATATCTATAATCACATGATTTTTTTTAATCATCATGACTTGGAAGGAATTAAATCTGACCCCTTAGAAATAGTGATTGCAGGAATAGTCACCTCTTTTGTCTATGCTTCAGTTTCATAATATCAGGATTATTCTGAATTTTAAGCTTTGTAACTTGCTTTTTGTACTTACCTTTCTAACGTAAGTATTTTCTGTGCCTTCAAAAACTATCTATAAACGTGATGTGTTCAATGACTACATAATTCCCTGTTGTCTGAACGTATCATAATTTTTATGCCATTTTGTTTTTTTGTGGACATTTAGGCTTGTGAATGTTTAGGAGAGAAAAGGGGTGAGATGGTCTATGACGCTCAGGCTGGTCTTCAACTTGAAAACCATCTGCTTCTGCCTCCTGAGTGCTGGGATTAGAGGTGTACCCACCATGTCCAGCCCCGTGCTCTTTTATTATTATAAATCACATTCCAATGAAAAGCTTTGCACAGTTTTTTTCTCACATTACTTCCTGAGCAAAGATATCCCCAGAAGGACAATTCTGAGTTCAAAAGACATAAAAATACTTTAAGTTCTCCATACATACTGTTAACTGACTTTCACCAATAGTCCAGAAAAATGCCTATTTTGCTAATAAGAAGATTAATTTTTTGACTAATTTGATAAATTAAGTGATATGTAATTTTAACTTGCATTTATTGGATCACTGTTGAGGTTCAATTCTTGGGCATTTCTGTTCCCTTGTTTGTGGATTTCATTGTTTCTCTTTCTCTCTTTCTCTGTTCTCTCTTTCAACAGCAGTACTGGGGTTTGAACTCAGGGCCTCATTCTTGCTTGGCAGGCACTCTACCACTTGACCTACTCTGCCAGACCTTTTTTGTGTTTCGTATTTTCAAGATAGGGTCTTGAGAACTATTTGCCCAGGTTGGCTTCCAACCTGGATCCTCCTAATCTTTGCTTCCTGAGTAGTTAGGATTACAGATCTGAGCCTGTGTCCAGCTTCCATTTCTCTTTTAACATGTTAGTGTTTATTGAATGACATGCTTTTGACATGCTTTGCACACACATTTATCTGAGTCTCTCCAATGTGCTAGGACTGGTCTAACCATCAAAAATGAGACAGACACAGCCCCTGCTCTGTATGGTGGATGTGGGGGTGGGGGGTAGGGGGGTGGAGGTGGGGGGTAGGGGGGTGGAAGTGGGGGTGGGGGGCAGGGGGGTGGAGGGTGGGTAAGCCCTGGTTACAATGAAGCTTTCACCTGCTCCACTAGAAACACAAACAGGCTGTAGTGGACACACTAATAGAGATAAGTGCACAATTCGAGATGAAAGGCCACAAAAAGCCTTCACAGAGGAGATGATTCTTAACTAAATATAAAAACCTAAGTAAATTACCAGAGCAACACCTACAGACAGGGCCAGACCTAGTTGGTGAGGGGAACTTTGTAGTTGGGTTTGCTAGAGAGTAAAATGTTAGGCAAGTTCAGAGGAAGAAAAGGCTGGAAAGTCATCAAAAGTCACATAATTTAAAAAATTACATATACATAACTGTAAACTTTCAGTAAGTCTAATGGAGCTTTCCTTTTCCAGTTGCTTATATAATGATTAAATTAAGAAAGTCCTTCCTAACCCAGATTTGATGCTTACCTTTATTTTCTTCTGCTTTTCATTTTTACTAATTTCATTTCACTTTACATTTAACTAATCCATGAGGAACTGACTTTGGTATAAGCCTCATTTGGATTTTTTTTTTTCTGTTTAATGTAGACGTTAGTCACATCCATATTTTTCATTAAGCCTCTTTCTGTAAACTTATTTTGCTAATGGGTAAAACATAGTGCTGAATATCTAATAAGGAATATCTATTCCCAGATAAGGATGATGGCTGGGAGAAACAAAAGAAATTTCATTGGGATTTAATATTTAAATATCAGAACTGAATTGGGCAAGCACTAGGAGAGCAGACTCTAGGATGTGTAGAGTCCTGGGCCCTCAGTGTGAATGATACTTTGTGTTCATAGATTGCAAATTTTTAAGAAAGCAACTGTGTTTCTACAGACAGGAATTTATTCTCATGACAGCTGAAGACAGGAGAGTGAGGAGGGAGAAGTCAATGTAAGCCTGACTAGTTTATTCCTACTTGAAGTCAGGTGGAGTCGGGTTTCCTCCCCTGAGCTGACTGCAGGACCAGGGCCTTGGCATCTCCACGCAGAACAGGCTTGATGCTGGCTGTGAACTGAAGGCTGTGATTGGTTAGAAAGGCAAGAGCAGCCACACCAGATTGGCTCTGGACTTCCTCCCCCCTCCCCGCCCCCGGCTGCCCTGTTGTTACTTCACAGCATTCTGAAGGCCGTCCACCAATGACAGGGCTTCTTACTGGAAAACCCCACTGCGGGACAGTGCCAGGAGTCCATAGCAACACCCTGCGGCTTTTGAAGTCGGAGGGACGACTGCAGTCTGCTGTTAGTGGAGGAGAGCGCCCATGCCTCAGGAAGAGCAGACTCTCGGGATGGACACCCCACCCCCTGAAGAACTTTTAGATAAGCGAAACGAAAAGCTGAAAACCCAGGACGAGGAGATGGAGTTTCAGATGGACGGCCTGAGGGAAGCCCTGGCAAACCTGCGGGGACTGTCAGAGGAGGAGAAAGGAGAGAAGGCCTTGCTTCACTTCCGTATCCAGGAGCAGTCCCAGCTCATCTGCATCCTAAAGCGCAGGTCGGATGAGGCCCTGGAGCGCTGCCAGGTCCTTGAGCTGCTCAACACCGAGCTGGAGGAGAAGAGGATGGAGGAGGCCGAGAAGCTGAAGGCCCAGAGCGAGTATGCCCAGAGGCTGGAGGATCGCTTTAAGACTCTGGTAGCCAACCATGAGATGATGATCCGCTTCAAGGATGAACACAAGAGTCTGAACGTCAAGCTGAGGGAGGAAAATGAGAAGCTGAAGATGGAGAACAGAAACCTTTTCAGCCAGGCTCTGCAGGAGAAGGAGGCCAAAGTACTGCAGCTCACTGCCCACGGCGAGGCCCTCACCCAGGAGCTGGAGGCCCTGAAACACAGGTGTATGCAGGACGCCTGCCAGGCCCAGGCCAGGGAGAAGGAGCTGCTGGAGCTGCAGGGGCAGCAGGCCCGCGCCCATGCCAAGGAGACAGAGCAGCTGCGCAGCCAGCTGCAGATCCTCAAGCAGCAGCAGCAGCAGGCTGAGGAACAGATGGCGAAGGCCCAGGAGACACACAGCCGCCTGAGCCAGGATCTGCAGGCCAGGCTGCAGACCATCACGCGTGAGAAAGAGGAGCTGCTGCAGCTGTCCATGGAGAGGGGCAAGGTGCTTCAGAACAGGCAGGCGGAGATCCGCCAGCTGGAGGAGAAGTTGGAGATCGCTGCGGTGGCCAGGAAGCACGCACTGGAGAGGTTCGAGCAAGAGGCAGTGGCTGTGGACAGCAACCTGAGAGTCCGGGAGCTTCAGCGCAAGGTGGATGGGATCCAAAAGGCCTACGATGAACTCCGGCTGCAATCGGAAGCCTTCAAAAAGCACAGCCTGGATCTTTTAAGCAAGGAGAGAGAACTCAATGCCAAACTCCGTCACCTCTTTCCATAAGGAAGCTTCTGCTGTTTGTGCCTTATAAGGCAAAGATAATATTCCATTTCTTACATTTTTAAGTACAAAGAAAAGCCACTTACTCTGGCATTGTTGTTACTGTTATAAAACTAATACTAATTTTCAGTTCTACCACCTAGAATACACAAGATTTGTCAGAGCTCCTTCTGTGCCTTTGAAGTCTTCCTATTTTGCTATCAGTATCTTGGCCTACCCCATAACTTACTCAGCCTCCATCTCAGATGTCATCAATAGCCTGAGATTTTAAATTAGCAGCTTCTATGATTTAAGTGAATCTACGATGGGATGTGTATGGTAGAGGGGAAAAGTAGGTAGCACAATTAACCATTGTAGGTATGTGGGTTGATAGACTCCTGTAGTTGAGATTATAAGCAAAGATTAGACTAATAGCAGCATGAGTACTTTGCAGGGGAAAAGTGTCTGATTTTATTTTACTTTTCCTTTGCTTAGCAAACAAAGATTTAGATCATTAATTTGTTTACCAAAGTAGGCTAACTTTACTTATACTCATTCCATATGAGCAATAAGATTCAAATTAGTTAAACCAATTTTTATTTTCCTGGCAAGCACAGACCACAATCCATTTTCTTAGTTTTTTTCTTAATAAAGACAGAATTTAGCAGTCCAATAATGCAAATATCAGTACTTCCATTTAATATTGCACAATATGCTAATAGACAAAGGCCCTCAATTTGGGATAACCAGTCATAGGAAACATGGCATGACTTATACAGTAACTCATTGTTTTTTATTTCTATCAGCATATTTTGTTACAATTAACATTTTCCTTTTTAAAATCTAAGCTGACTGTATGCATACTTATGGCATTTTTGTAGGAATCGCTATTAAAAACACTAGTCATACATATATTTATGTAAAGCTCTAAAAAGTGAATGTCTTTAAATTCTTAAAAGTAATTATTAAAATATACTTCACATTTCCATATTTCCCTATATTTAGTTATGGTTGTAAAACATTATTATGAATACCTCTCAAAATGGATTATAATGTATTTTTCTCACCTACTTGAAGTCACGAGTGCTAACAATTACATAAATTGGATTTGCTAAAAACATTACTTGGGGCCTTTTAAATAAACCATGCCTAGGTGGGTATTACCTTACCTCAGGCAATTTTTTAAACCTATTTTTCATACTTCTAGTAAGATTATGCTTTTAAATACAAAATTTTCTCATCAAAGGACATTTCCTTCCTCTTAGAGCTTACAAAGAATCAGAATACAGATGCTAACTTAATCATGATTTTCCTTTATTGAGCCCATACTATTCATCATTGTATTGAAGCAATTTGGATGAATTGTTTTGTTTAACCCTTACAAGTATTCAAGAAGGTAATTATGTTGATTCTTATTTCAAAGAAGAAGTGACTAGATTCCAGTAATTTCCTCAAGGCCACTTGGTCACTGGGGAGCTAGGATTTCCGGGTGAAATCAATATACAGTGTAAAATCATCTTTTCACACTGAAAGATAAGTATTGACTACCGAGTGCCAGACACTGGGGCAGGCACCAAGGAAAAGCATAAAGAAAGAAGTATTTCCTGCCTTAGATGCACCCCCAAGTCTAGTCTAGGGACAACCCTCACCCAAACCATTGCATAGTGTGATGTGGTTTTCCAGGGGGTGTTTTGAGGTAACAGGGGTGGCACACTCAGCATCTGACTCCCCCAGGGCTTAAGGGTTGGGATGGTGGAGAGACTCTCAGAAACTAATTCTTAAAGATCTGGTAGAACTTCATCAGGTGGAGAAAAGGGAGAAGGGTTTTAGATAGCCTTGTATGGAAGACATGCAGGTTTTTAAAATGCCCAGAATATTTGGGAATTTATATGTAGTTGGGAAGAGGTGCAGAGAAGGATGACTACAGATAAAACTAGAAGAGTGGATTGAGGCCAAAATATAGGGAACCTTGAAAGACCAGATGGGCCCCTTGTATTGGGATTGTGGGTAGAAGGATGGGGGAGGGAAAAGGGAGGAAGAGAAGAGAAGCAGTACAAACCTACAAATGGAAACCAGAGCCTTGGTGCTCTTCTTCCCACCCTGATTCAGGGCTGTCTTGCAGGTGACCTGATGCACATGAGTGCCAAAATCCTCCCTCTTCCCTTCCTCCCCTTTTCTTTGGGTGGGAAGGATGTATCTGGAGTAGCCTTGGAGATAGATAGGGTAGGGGCAGGGGGCAGATCTCCTGAAACAGGTGCAACAGAAAGGGCCCAGTTGCTCAGTCCTAAGGATAGTTACTAGACAGTACTGCTAAACACAAGATTTAATCATATAAATGGTTATAAATGATAGCTATCCATTTTGTAGATTCTAAGTGGTCAGCCATTTTATAAGGTTCACTCTAATACCCTTTTGAAAATTTTTGAAGGGAAAGTGAGGAATGAGGATAGACAGAGACAGATGCCTCTAGAACACAACAAAAAAGAGCCCACACCACAGCCAGGAAAGTAAAGTGCTTGTCAGGTGCATTTCATCTTCAGACAACTCTTCAAGGGAGGTTCCATTACCACTATGTTAGGGATGAAAAAAGACTCAAAGAGGGTGACTTGTCTAAAGCCAGGAAGCTTTGGAGAAGCAAGAGTGAGACTTAAACCAAAGACCCTTGAGCAGGGTGCCATGGGCGTCCCACCTACAAAGGGCCCTCAAAATTGGTTTAGTGCTCTACTGTCACTGTCCTGAAATTCTTGTTTTTAACAAGGGGCTTCACACTTTGATTTTGTGTGGGCATTGCCAATTAGGAAACTGGGCCCGCTTTCTCCCACTGTATAAACTACCTTCTAAACAGCCACAGAATCTTGTTTTTTCCTCTTTGGTCCACATCACTTTGTAATCCACTTCCTCAGTGGTCGCTTTGTATTTAATCTGTGACCCAGAACTGCATTCCAGGGTGAGCAAGTGGTTTAGCTGTTGTGGTATTCTGCTCTGTAAAGTGATGCTTATCACAGGAAAGAATTGACAAGATATAAATTGGCCCCCTCCACACCACTGCCTTAAAACAATCTTAAAAACAAAACAGTAAAACTCCTTTCTAAAGCAAACCTGTATCTCTAGTGATTTTTTTTTTGCAATATCACAAACAGTAACCCTAAAATGAAAGCAGAACAAAGATTCTAAGACTAAATTATGAGTGTGTGTGTGTGTGTGTGTGTGTGTGTGTGTGTAGTGCAGTGTAGCTAAGTGTAAGTCACTTTGTAAGCCCTTTGGTGTATCTCAGAGGAACTATTCCAAAAGTTTGAGAGTTTGAAAAAAAAAGAAAAAAAAAAACCTAAAGGAAAAGTGAACTGTTTTCAGAGCACTCTGCTTTGGTTGGTAAAAATGAATTCAAATTAGTTTCTAGTAAAGCCTTAATAGAAAAATCAGTGCTTCCCTAGCTCTATTACAATTCAGTTAGACAATTGTTTAGAGTGTTGTTTGAAGAAGGACCAGAACCTGTGGTTGCTTTCTACCCTGCCCTCTTTGACTCAGATACTGATGAAGTAGCTGTGGCTGAGTCAGACAAAAAAAATGATTCTTTCCTTCCCACTATGACTAGACCAAGAGAATTGAGCAAACATTTGAGATCCCACCTGTTAGCCCATGAATAAAGGAAAAAGAACCACAGCCTTGACTGTACTTCCAAAAGCCTACTCTGCCTAATCAGATGCTTGTCTTCCAGCTAGAAGTTTGGCCCAAACTAGATCATCTGGGAATACCTTAGCAAAGCATCTTCATAGGGCACGTTGCCATGATTTAGATCAATTAGCATCTACTCCTGGGATGGGAATAAGGCCAGTCTATGCTATCTGAGAAATCCAGGGATGAGGGAATGGGATAATTGTTTGGTGGCCACCAAACAGTGTTTGCTATATTGCATCCTCTTAGATTGCCAGATTCTTATCAGGCAGGAAATATATTTTTTTAATAGCAAGTCATGAAAAATTGCCAGAATTTGGAGTGGCCAAGATTAGGCTTTTCTAATCATTTCCTATCTTCCTAAGGACAAACTGGATGTTATTTTCCAAACACTAAAAATAATCTTATTAAATTTAACAGCCTAGGGCTGTACCAATGAATCTTCCTATTAATCGTATTCTCTCCAAATCCTTCTGCTTTTCCCACTTGGAGAAAAGTAATTCAAGGGAAAGCTTTCCCTTGGAAAGATTTGCTGGTCATTCATGACTCATTTAACTTTGACTATAGTGACCCACAAGCCCTCACTCTCCAGGCCCACAAAGAACTCCTCCTGCCTTTGCTAATTGCCAGACTGCTCCCATTTAGTCCTTTAATCCACTCTCATTTTTACTAATCTAAATTTTCATGTTTGAGGTTTGCTACAATTTAGATTGGCCCCCTCTCCCCATAGTACTGGGTTTTGAACTTGGGGCCTCATGCTTGCTAGGCAAGTACTCCACCACTTGAGCCACTCTACCAGCCCCCTTTTTATTGTGTTGGGTTTTTTGAGATAGGGTCTCACTTTTTTTTTGCCTGGGCCAGCCTTGAACTGCAAAATTTGGATCAGTGATGCTCCCCATAGGCCCAGGTGTTAAAGTCTTGATCCTCAGGGTGACACTATTGGGAAGTGGTGGTACCTTTAAGAGATGGGACCTAATGGAAGGTCTTTATGTCATCGGGGCTATGCTGTTGGTGGGAACTGTGGGATTCTGATGCCTTCTTCCTTTTCTCTCTCGCTCCCTGGCCGTGAGCAGTGATTTGCTCTGTCACGTGCTCCAGCCATGATATGCCACCTTGCCCAAAAGCAACATGGTCAATCAGTCATGGACTGAAACCTCCAAAACTGTGAGCCAAAACAACCTTTTTCTCTTTATAAATTGATTATCCCAGGTATGTTTTATAATGACAGAAAGTTGGCAACACAAGATTATTCCTTGAATCACTGTATTAACAAAAGATTTATATGCCATTGAAAAGGAATAGATTAACCAAACTCTGGGCCCTTTATACTTTGGAATTCAATGCAAGTGAAA